ATTGACAGCCAATCAGAATCCAGCAAACTTTAAAGAGTGTGAGCATTTAAAGTAACAGAACGTTATCAGCCATTGGAGTGGATGCTAATATAATTATCCTTACTTACCGTTGTTCTTGGTGTGAATGGACCGTAGGACGATTTGAATGATTTATCGTTAATGTGCACTCTTTCACATACTGTTTTTTTTTTTTTTTGTATTAAAGGGATAGTTCACCCAAAAATTGAAATTATGTCATTAATTACTCACCCTGATGTCGTTCCAAACCTGTAAGACCTACATTCATCTTTGGAACACAAATTTTTGATACATTCCGAGAGCTCTCTGACCCTCCCATAGACAGCAAGGATCCTAACACGATCAAGGCTCAGAAACGTAGCAAGGACATCGTTAAAATAATCCATGTGACATCAGTGGTTCAACCATAATTTTACGAAGCTACGAGAACATTTTTGTGCGCAAAAAAAACAAAAATAATGACTTTATTCAACAATTCATCTCCTCCACGTCCAGTGTTGGGAGTAATGCGTTACAAAAGTAATGCATTACAGTAACTGATTACTTTTTGCTGTAACGCAGTAGTGTAAGGCATTACTAATCAATTTTCAGTAATATTTTACTCGGTACATGTTCAACGCGGCATGATTTCAGCCTCTCTGTGCTCGAGGTCTGAGGCTATTAGCCTAGCCCGACTAGCTGTAAGCCCCGGCTCGCACTGGCCAGTGGAAAAGCGGCTTATGGGCAGAAGACTGTACATGCGCGAGATGGACGTATGCGCATCTTGTCACCATATGCTCTGCAATACATTTGGTCATTTTAGAATGTTAAGTATGGTAACACTTTAGAATAGGGAACACTTATTCACTATTAACTAAAAATTTTCCCTCAATAAATTCCTAATTTGCTGCTTATTAATAGTAAGGAAGGTAGTTGTTAAGTTTAGGTATTGGGTAGGATTAGGGATGTAGAATAAGGTCATGTAGAATAAGGCATTAATATGTGCTTAATTACTACTAATAAATGGCTAATATTCTAGTAATATGCATGCTAATAAGCAACTAGTTAAGAGACCCTAAAATAAAGTGTTACCATTGTAAGGTAAGGAATTACTTTTAAATAACAGTAACAAGTAATCTATAATGTATTACAGTTTGGAAGTAACTTGCACAACACTGTCCGCGTCACCCTTTAGTGCCCTTTATTTTGGAGAGTATCACAAACGTAAACAACATATGCAACGTATGTATGTGGATACGTTGTTTACATTGTTTACGCTTTGATCTGAATGTAAACAACGTATCCGTGTGCATACGTGAGTAATTAATGACAGAATTTTCATTTTTGGGTGAACTATCCCTTTAAGCAAGTATTATTTTATTCCGAACATATCAATAAAAAATGTCACATATTCAGAAGGAAGTGACACAACTTAAAATCAGTTTGGCTCTCTTATGGTATGCAGATCACATGATTTGACAACTTTTTAATGCAGTGAGACCATTATATCTTAATCAGGTGCATAATACAAATACAAACCAGCACATTTAAGGTGTTTCTCATATTTTTCAGTTGTGTCCGTTGCAGTGCCTCTGCAGAGCCTGTTCTCACACTCATATAAATAAGAGTGACTGTGGAGGTGTGGTCTGATGCACAACTATGTTCGGCTTCTGGCTGCTGGAATGCAGTGTACGCGAGTGTTAGCGCGTCTGTCTCCAGAAGGAGTTCATCTAACACCCACATGACAAGAGCTGACACATCCCCTCACTTAGACCACCACTAGTAAAACAGTGTCCTAAAGTCACACCCGGCACTGAGATCTGGCCTCACTACAACTGCCATCATGCCTCGTAATGCAGACTGATTTGTCTGTCTCACGGTAGAAGTGGATATTTGACTGCAAGTTTATAACAGTATTAATGATATGTATACATAATGAACAAGAGGGAGGGAAGGACTTTATGGAAGCACTGAAATATTCAGGTAACTGCAGAGATACATCCACTACTGTCCGTGTTTCAGCTCCATGTCTGTTTTTAAAGCAATAGTTCACCTGAGAATTACAGTTTGGCTCATCCTCATCTGTTTCATTATCTTAATGTTTAAGCTTTTGCATAGTCAAAGTTAGTGCCTTAAGATTTTTCTGGGAATACAGAGTTAAATTTGAGCCTACTCCTCATGCTAAGATACCGTATAGTCACATCTTGTTTGTGTTATTCTGTCTAAAGACTCTTATTTTGAAGTTTATTTGGTTCTGTGGTTTTTGTGTTTGTTTCCTCAGTTCCCTTGGTTACTAAAACGCTTGGTTTGTTTCTGTAGTGAAGGATTGAGTTCACCTGTGTCTAGTTTAGTTTTTTGTTATTCCATGTTGCCTTTTTGTTGTCATTTGTTGTCTTTGCATTTGTTTGTAAAGCTGTTGCGGTGTTCCCCAAGTGGACTGCATTCTTTGTTTATTCATTTAAACGTCTTCAACTAGATCCAAGCCTCAACTCTTCCCTTGTACAACTGTGACACAAAGGCCTACGACTTTTCATGGTGTTGTCCTTTATGAAGCTTGACAGTAGGAGTGAACAATATGTATTGTCTACGATACAAATGTAACTCAATTGGCAAAAAACAAAACAAACATGTCTTGAGATGGCATGCTTCCACTGTGGGATACAGAATGCAGTTAGATTGTCAAAATTTCAATATACAGTATGGTGAGTTTTTGTCCTTTATATTCCAGTGCGATATAGTTAAGCAATATCACACAAGCACACATGCTGTTTTGTCCAAATAAGCATGATTGCAAAATGGGATTTATTTATTCAAGAATACTATATTGTAAGTTACACTTTAGACACCATTTTATGTCAAAATTGTCTGTTTACGCAAACAAAAATAGTTCCGAACAAAGCCGCAACAAAGCTGTCGAGTCTGTGCAACACACAGTGGGGTTTCGTTCCTGTAGGAATCTGCTTTTTTGAACGAATCAGTGATTCACTGATCCATTTATAAGTCACTTGCTTCATTCTTGAACGAATCAGCTGTTTGAACAAACAGTTTGAATGATTCAGTGACTCACTCATTAAGACAGTGACTTGTCGACACCTGCTTGTGGTTTTTGTTTCATATTTACAAGCATAAAAAAATACATTAATCTCATATCATTATTTATGAAGTTGTAATTGCAGTGCAACTTCATCTAAATGCTGATTTAGATACAGTTTCTGTGCTACTTCTGCAGTGCAAAAATACTGATTTCATTTGATTGGTCTGCATCTAATAAGATTTGAAAAAAGAAATGCCTTTGTAAACATAAAAATGCCCTTGGAAATCAATTAAAGGTGGCAAACATCGACCCTTTTAAGGGTGAAGTTAAAATAAAAAAAAAAAGGTAGCCTAATTAAGTTAATTTCTGTTAGTGCTGTGAAATAACCGCTGTACAGAACAAGAAGAATATGAAAAACACAAAAACACACTCAAGCAAAATATTGTCTAATTATCATTACTGACAAAATTCCAGAAAATATTGAGATATAATGTTTTGTCCTCTGGTTAGCATCTACTTTTGTTGTATAGAATAGAGCAGCTTGAACATTCTGCTAAATATTTCCTTCTGTGTTCTACAGAAGAAGGAAATCATACAATAATGGTTCCTTTGAAAGAAAGGGATATAAAAAGAGCAAAAAATATGCTTGTCTTTCCCTTTATACCACTAGACATTGACTCACCACAAAATCAAGGGGATGTCCTGTCCCAAAGAAAAATATGTTCTGGAGTAAAATGAGTCTAGTATTACCACAGCAAACATACCACGTCTGCTTTCATGGGCTTTCAAGGCATCTTCATATGCAAACAGAAAGGACATGATTTCATTTTCAGCACATATTACGAACATTTAGACATTTTGTATCTAACAAAATATTCACAGACTGTGCGTGTATAATTACAGTGAAGGGCTTTTCTATGTGGTGTTAGGTTTATTGTGCTTATGTTTTGTGGCGTCTTTAATGTGTGTTTATTGAAATTGTATAAGGGAGTTCACTAAAAATACACACCAGTGGAGTTTGTTGCTAGGGTAGCGACGTGTCCCCAACTGCCTGCAAAAGCGCACCTCTGTCCTGTTCACGGTTCAGCAGGGCAAAGCCGCAAGATAAACAGTTTTTTCATGCAAAAGTGCATGGCTGGCAGTCTGGTTAAATCAGCTGTTATCTCCAGTCAACAGTAAGATTCTGTGGATGGATTATCCAATGTATCTGACGTCAAACCGCTGTTAAGATGTAACCGATACAGGCTCTGCTTTTTTCATGCCTGTCAAAAAAATAAAAAATAAGACATTTCATCTTCTATTGTTGTTGATGTACTTTTTTAATGTATCAGATTACGAACATTTGAAGGAGTAGGTTTCTGCAGTGTGTGTGGCCTCCTGCCTTAGGCAATAGTATAGTATGGCAACCTAAATTGCAGTGGATTAACATTTTATATAGTTTTTTTCCTGGCAATGACGTCAATGAGTGTCAAAGATAAAGATAAAAATATTTAAATATTTAAAAAAATGTTTAAAGCAGGTGCAAATTCTTAGAAATGTAATCTTTGTATTTATGGTTTAAAAAAACTTCTATACAATTTGTAATCAATAGTAATATGCTAAGTTTTATATATTCTATTTATATATTTTATTTTACCTGTATAATGAATTAGATATGAATTAATATTTTATATATATCATACTTTTGTGGTGTATCATATGAGATTTTACAATGTGAACTAACCTTGCATTTTCATTAAAAATCTCATTTTCATAATTTCATATTGGTCGCATCACATGACTTTAATTTGGCAGAAAAAAATGGATGTATTTATTTTATTTTTATTATTTTATTATTTTCTAAGAAATGATAATGAAATAATTTTTTTTTTTAAATGAGCGTCATGTCAATGACTTGACTTGAATGGCCAAGCCTTATACATTTTTTTTTAAATATTCAAATTAATAGACATTTTATTCTTTTTTTCAGATTTCACCATGAGTGAGGAGACTGAAGTGTGGGTGTAGCTGTTCAGTGGAGCAAGATATCACAAGCACAGTGTCTACACTCCCTCAAAATCGACGATGGGTGAAGCCGAAGATGAGAAGAACCAGGCAGGACGGCTATTTGAGAACTTTGTTCAGGCCACTGACTGTAAAAGCACCCTGCAGGCCTTTAATATTATGTGCAGTTACCTGGAGCTTGACCCTCTGGAGCACAGCACCTTCTACAGCGACCTGAAGAGCATGGTGACCTGCTGGAAAGCCAAAGCCCTTTGGAGCAAGCTGGACAAGAGAGCCAGCCACAAAGAGTACAAGAAAGGCAAAGCCTGCGAGGGCATTAAGGTAAGCTTGCAAAAAGCCAAGACAATAACAATACTGGAATATGTTATGACGTTTAAATGAGCTGGCAAACCTTTGTTGAGATCTTTATAAACCAAATATTTAGGTGGTTTATAGATTCCATCTAAGATTTGCCCTGATTTTGGGCTATGGTTTTTGTATGCTATGACATCATTATATATATAACATCATGGACACATGTTGTTCATTAGACGAGTGCTCTCTGACTCTTTTATTGTAGTTTAATTGTGGTGTGTGTTGAGGCAAACATCTACTATTGCTCATACTATAACACATACAGTAAGTCACACATACTGTAAGTCGCCCTGCGCCATTTGTGAACTGATAATTAATCATAATGAATTGTGTGGATTTTCTTATGACAAATAGATTTATTGTTGCCAGAACACCCCATCGCAACTGCAAAGCACCACCTTAGCATCCACCCAATCATTGTACTATCAAGGCGTCATGTTTAAAGGGATAGTTCACCCAAAAATGCCATCATTTTCACATAAGCTCAATATGCGAGAATAGAATATTTTTGGAAGAACTATCCTTTTAACTTGAGTCATAATATCCCTATGCATAGCTGCAGATCATTTTTCATATGTTTCATACACAAAACGTACCTGACACTTAAGCTTATATATAGCAAAATTATAAAGATAGTACAAATTCCTGTACATTTCCAAACCTGTCTCTGTCTTGTTCATTACGAGAACTTCCCCCTTTACACACACACACACACACACACACACACACACACACACACTTTAAAAGGCAGCAAGGAATCAAGCTCAGCTTATTGTTAGTGAGTGTTTGAAGTGTTTCAAAGAGAGCATAATTTAACAAGTTCACTTCATACGTGCAATAAACGGCCCACTAACGTCTCTGATGTAAAGGAGCGTAATTATGCAGCTCTTTTTAGAGTGTAATTTACCTCTTTGTAATAAAGATGGTAATTATATACAGTAGTCCTGACGAAGGGCTGTTCTGCACACTTTAATCAAAGCCAGAACAGTGTTGCCTAATGGCACTGGTTCAGACAAGCCAGGTATGCTGTAACTGCAAAATGGCTCATAGGAGTATTTAAATACACATATTAAGCATTGGACCCTTACTAGTTTGATTTTTAGGGTTTCTTAAACAAAACTTTTTCTCTGTTTCCATCGCCATTCATCAGACAAACAGCTTGTTGCATCTCAAACTCACGCCGTTGGTTGAGTCAGAGGCTGACTTTCTGAATTGCTGAAACAGACAAAGCAATGTTTTGAATGCAACGGAGAGTGTCTTCTCTCATCTGGAAGCCAACCTTCAAATGGCTTACTTAGTTGATTCTGCACATTAAACAGGCATTGGAAAGGTGTTTTAACATCCTGATGAATATTAGACCATCTGCCCCTTCATCCTGTTGTGACTTGAGTTGAGTTGGGGGGGAAAAAAAAGGTGTGGTTTAGGAAGAGTGACACGATATCACTGCTCACCAGCCTACAACTGTCTGCCAGATTCACAGTCTGCCCAGGATATGAGCTCATTCTCTCGTCATCAACCAGCGGGACAGCTCAACTGCCTGTTTTATTGTTTTATACTGGCTTTATCACCATTGCAAAGAACACAGAGGCTTAATCTAAAAGTTTAGACATTCACTGCAAGCAAAATATGCTAAAATAATTTTTAAATTGTAATTCATGCAGTGATATTTTTTATTTCTGTATCATTCTTATTAACATATGTAAATTATGTTTATTGATTACTACACAGGTTTCAGGAATAGTTGATTCTGATTATACACAATTTTAGCTGTGCTAGTTTCATTTCTTTTTTTATTACTGTCTTTTTTTCTCACATATTTTTTTATATGATTATATTTTAGAAGTAACAATAACTTGAAGGAAGTCTCTTGTGCTCACCAAGGCTGCATTTATTTGATCAAAAATATAGTAAAAACTAGCGCTGTCAAACGATTAATCGCGATTAATCGCATCCAAAATAATATAAGTTTTGTTTACATAATATATGTGTGTGTACTGTGTATATTTATTATGTATATATAAATACACACACATACAGTATACGTATATTTTGAAAATATTTACATTTATATATATTTATATTCATATAATTTATATTATATATAAATATATTTGATGTATAAACATAACATATTTTTCTGAAATATATGCACGTGTGTGTATTTATATATACATAATACTGTCAAACGATTAATCGCGATTAATCGCATCCAAAATAAACGTTTTTGTTTGCATAATATATGTGTGTGTTCTGTGTATATTTATTATGTATATATAAATACACATACATACAGTATATATATTGAAAATATTTACATGTCTATATTTATATACATAATTTATATTATAAATAAATAAATATATTTAATATATAAACAAAATTTTTCTGAAATATATATATGCACGTGTGTGTATTTATATATACATAATAAATATACACAGCACACACACATATATTATGTAAACAAAACTTTTATTTTGGATGCGATTAATCGCGATCAATCGTTTGACAGCACTAGTAAAAACAGTAACATTATAAATTTTTATTAAAATTTGAAACAATATTATTCTGTTTTAATATATTTTAAAATGTAATTTATTTCTGTGATGGCAAAGCTGAATTTTCATCATCATTACTCCCGCCTTCAGTGTCACATGATCCTTTAGAAATCATCCTAAATTTGATGATGTGGTGTGTAAGAAACATTTCTTCTTATTATTAATGTTAAAAAAAGTTGTGTTGCTTAAAATTTTTTTGTTAAAACTTTCAGGAAACTCGTAGATTCTTTTGATGAGCATTTAATTGAAATATAAATCTTTTGCAATGATGTTAAAGTAATTACTATCATATTTGATCAGTTGCATTCTTATTGAATAAAAGCATTAATTTCTTTAAAAAAAATTGAATTTCCAAATATATATATTAGTGTTTTTTAATGTTAGTTTGGTATGGCACAATGCAGTTTTATTAACACTTGATCTGTTTCACAGAATGACTCTTAAATGGATTCCCACATTGAGCAGCAGTTAAATAAAGTTGACACAAAAAGTGTCTTTTAAATTCTTCTCATACATTTTTGGGCTGTTTTTCAGGGGTGGTGTTGTGGTTTCACCACCGGATTTTGTGGTAAATACTTGGAGCCGTTCCTCAGTCTGAGCAGTTTGAGCTCCTGACCCAGACTCTGTGAGCTCATGCGATGAGGCACTGTTTCCCACATTGGGAAAGTCAAGTTCTTCTCTTTTTGTATGTTTGAGCATGTGTGCAGTCTGCTAGACATATGCTTACAGCTGTGACTTTGTGACTCGTGACTACTTGGGCAATGTAAACAAATCATACAGTGGCATTATACGCTAACACTCATTACACTAGAGGTATCAGCCAATTCGCCTGCCTTTTTTTATTCTCATACTGGCCTTAATGCTTGTGAATCTGGGCTGCTCTCCTGGTGGTCTGCTTCAGTTCATCGAGCAGCTTTCTCTAGTGGTGTGATGTCTAATTGAGCAAACTGCTGAAGCAAACTGTGATCACATTGTGTGCTAGAAGCAGGATAAGTATGTGTGTCTGGGTTTAAGTTATTGGTCCTGCAGTGAAGGTGGTCTCTGGTCCACTGGGCTTTGTGTAAAGTGACTGTTGGTTCAACACATACCGTGGCTTTCACCAGGAAGTCTCATCTGGCATTATGCTGCCAGTTCCTGTCCTGCAGACTTTTCCACGAGATAAAAGAGGCTGAACCAGCCTGAAGTGGCAGTGGTGTGATGAAATTTTAGAGCAGACGTTGGCCTGTACAGTGATTGGCTGGATTTTAAAAAGAGGACACACTAAAAATATTTTTTATTGCTCCGAGGTTGTTCTTTTATAGATTAGGAAATTAAATATCCACAGTTATAATTAATTTAATTAGTTATAATCTTTAATATAAAATATAATAATATAAATTAATATAAAGTTAATTTTAATTTAATTAAAAAAATAATTTATAAAAAATATCAATTTAAAAAGTAAAATAATATAATTTAATATAAAACTAATTTAATTATAATTAATTAGTATTATATTTGTCTTAGATTTTTTTACTAAAATTTGTATGATGATTATTGAGATACAATAATGGGTCGTTCACACACAAAACGCGCCTTTATGCCTAAAAACGCAAGATGCAGCGCTCAGGAATGGTTTTATAAAATGTGCAGCTTTTGCAAGAAACTTTAAATCTTTCTTGCTTTCTTTAGAGGTTTTTTCTGTCCATCAAGGTTTTTTTTTCTTCAGTTAAACCCACCCATATGGGCGGTGATTGTTAATTACTTATTGCATCTTTAATTAATTGACCAGCGGATTCAGTTTAATCATCTGACGTCTCTGTTTTGTGCCCTGATCTCCTTAAATGTTTGTTAACCAGTGTTGGAATATTTAGCACTGAAGATAATCCAGCCAGGACTGAAACGTTTGCTTTTTTTTGTGTCTGTGTTTTTTTTGTTTGTGCACTTTAGTTTTTGTTGTCACTTCTATGTAAATCTTCAGGAATAAACTCTTGTTCAGAGGACCTTGAACTTTGCATTCCGTTTGGTGTGCGGATTTTTTGCCTTGGCTTTTTGTATTTTTCTTTTATAAAAGTGCAGCACAAAACGCGAGGGTCTTGAGACTTTGGTCTGGCAAATCTGTCATTTTTTAGGTCTCTTCTGAAACTCCTGAATTTTTTTTCTCAAGTAAAAAATTTGACAAACAGGAGGTGTTTGTCTCCATTTGCTCTCAATTTGATTTCATTAGGTAAATCCTGATTTCATTAGAAAATGTATTCGTATTTTAATCATTTGTTAATTTGTCTTTACTATGGGCAACCCAAAAAAAAAAGCATGATTTCGAGCACCCACTGATGGACAGGAAACAGCTCCATGCTGACTCAACAGGAAACTTCACCTCTGGACTACTGTTCTGCTCGGTTTCAGGGTGGGGATGAGCAAAAACAAAAGAGTTATCATTGTGTTCATATCTGCTCTGACTGATGGAGCGTTTCATTAGTCTGTGGGGATGGTAAATGGGGATGGAGTGGTTGCGTGGCTCTCTGTCTTTTCTGAACAGGCTGCCTTTGTTCATTCTCTGTGGCTTTTAGTTAAAGTGAAGTCAAACAGAAACTGTGCACCTGGCCTGTCAGTCTGTGCTAGTGGTAACTGGTCCATCCAGTGTAATCAAAAGCAGCAGTGCAGAGACAGACCTGTCCAGACAGTGCAGTGGCCACCTGCGTCTGCCAGCCTCATACCTGCAGCAGTGATGAATAACAGATCTCCCCTCAGGCATTTAATACTTGCTTGTTTTCTCTGTACGCATTCCTCCAACCGCAATATCTTCTCCATTACTGCTACACACTGCTATTGATACTTTCAGCACCGTTACTCACAAACACACTCCTGTTAATACCAGCAATCTTGTTAAGTCAAATACACAATTTATATTGATTATTTCAACCCTTTTTCTCACAAATGCACAAAACACTCCTACTGATACGTTTAATCTTGTTACTTAAAATACTCAATTGCTGTTGATATTTTAAACTCTGTTACTCAGAAAACACACAGTCTTTTTGATTGATACTTACAACCCTGTTATTCACAAATACGCAAACACACTTTTGTTAATACCTGCAATCGTTACTTCAAATACACAATTTCTATTGATTCTTTCAACTCTGTTATACTCACAAATTCACAAAAACATTCCTACTGATACGTTTAATCTTGTTACTTAAAAATACACAATTGCTGTTGATTTTTTCAACTCTGTTACTCAAAATAGACACAGAGTCTATATTAATACTTTCAACCCTGTTATTCACAAATACACAATCACTTTTTTGTTGATGCCTGCAATTTTGTTACTAAAATACACAATTTCTACTGATACTCTGTTACTCAAAAATACACACACACACACACACGCACGCACGCACGCACACACACACACACGGATTCATATTGAAACATTCAACCCTGTTATTCAAAAATACACACATGGAGGCCTATTGGTACATTGAACCCTGTTACATTAAAATAAACATTTTGTCGACTTCTTTTGATACTATTAACCCCGTTGCTCAACAGTACATACACATTCCTATTGGCACTGTCAACCCTGTAATTCACACACACAAATATATTTGTAAGAAACAGGGTTGAAACACACACTAAGCATAGAATGTCTAAATCTCTGTCTTATTTTTTATTAATGAAAGCTGAAGGCCTTTTAATGAAATTATCTGTGCTTCTAGCAGGCTGAGATCTGTAAATAGCCTCAACTGACACAGTGCCAGGGACAACTATCCACACAGGCATTGAGGTCTACATAAACATGATAAGATGCAGGATCAGGAGGGGCTGAAACCCGAGCGTATAACAATATTGATCACAGCACAGGCTGAGAGTTTTTGCTGTATGCACACTGTGACAGGAAGCGCTAGCTGCCCTCATTGCCTCTTCCTTATTTTGAGGTCAATTAACCATCCTGAAATTGGCCATGTGTGTGGGAAATCATAGGAGGGGAAGGAAATTAATAGATCAAGTAGAAAAAAGTCACGTTGTACCATCTGGGCTGAAAATGAGCTAAAGCTTTGCATGATGTGAGTCCAATACGTGGCTCTCTTCTGTGACTCAAGAATAGATTTGTGTAAAGATCATCTCTCCACATAAAAAGTGATCTCTCATCACTAAACCAGAGAGGATGAAGTCATACCCACAGCAGGCATTCTCAGACACGTCCCGGAACCTGACGTCTTGACTTCATGCATTCATACAAGCCTGATGCATGAATCATGCCTTTGATATGACAGGACTGTAATTATGAATTAATGCTGATGAAATCACACACGCGCCTCCAGTTATTGGCACTGGTTGTGATGTGGTGCTTGGATAAACATTTGCGTTAGTGCTTACTTTTCTTTGAGCTTATCTGCTAAGATTTTCTGCTTTCTAGGATACTTCCTGAAAGAATGGGCAAGAACTGTTTGCTCACCACAGAGTAAAATAGGCTCCTTGAATTTCAATAAAGAAAAATACACAAGGTATTATAAAATGCACAGAGGTCCTAGAGAGGTATTGCCTTCTTTTATATGTATTTGTGGAATTTAAAAAGCAATGAAAACAAAAGTCACCCAATTGTTCTGTACTTTCTCTGTTTTTTAAATGAAAATAGTGACCTTGGTTAAATTCTTACCCTGCTGATTCTCTGAATTTCTGATTGTAACTTTCAGTGCTTGATAATTGGAGGGGGCCCCTGTGGCTTGCGGACTGCCATCGAGTTAGCTTTCCTCGGAGCCAAAGTGGTGGTAATAGAGAAGAGAGATACATTCTCCAGGAACAACGTCCTACATCTCTGGCCCTACACCATTCATGACCTCAGAGCCTTAGGAGCCAAGAAGTTCTATGGAAAGTTCTGTGCTGGAGCAATAGACCACATCAGTGAGTTCTGAAACAACTTATCATTCTCTGCATATTATAAGCAACCTATAATAACCTCCTTGTTTAAAGCAGTAGTCATTTTTTAGTTCCTCTTCTCATTCTTTTGATAGCCCTTCTTTTTTCTATATATGCAGTATATGTTACCTTTGTTGTGTTTATCTACAGTGATATATCACCCAAAAATCTACATTGTAAACCCTAATAAGTTGAGTCTACTCAAATCATTTGAGAAAACTAATTCACGCACTATAGTTATCACAATTAACTAAAACTAAAAGCATATTTGTTAATTGAAATAAAGATGAAATAAAAATAATTTTGAGTTGCCAATTAATTTAAATACATTTATATAAATTTACAGCACTAAAATTACTAACCGGAATGAGAAATAAACTAAATTACTAAAATGACTAATAATAAATAACAAAAATAACTAAATAAATTAAACCATAAATAGATAGATAAATGACAAAGCATTACATTTTTACTAGAAAATAATAGTTAGAAATTAAAAATAAAATAAAATGAAAACGGAAAATATAAAAATAAGAGCTAAATCAAAATATTAATAAAAACTATAATAATACATAAATAAAATAACTCTGTCAACCTCAATTTAATTTAATAATTGTAGCTAATCCTATTAAATCAAGTATTTAAGTACAGTTAACTTAAAGGGCAAGTAAACTGAGATTTTCCAATTTATATATTGTTTCATTTACTTATATTGAACGAGCAATAAATCATTAAAACAAGCTATTGTCTCACATCAACAATTATATATATTATATTATAAAAATTATATTTATTATTATTATATTTGTTTCCAACAATTTATTTGTTTCACATTAAATTATATTAAATATATATATATATATACACAGTGACCAGTCACTGTCAAGACTTACACTTCAGTTTGTTCCTCACACAAAGCTATCATTTGACTTTACAGGATTTGGAATTTATCACATTAGTCATATGAACTACTTTTATGTTGTTTTAATGTCTTTTTAGGAGCTTGACACTCCCAGTCCCTATCAATTTTCATTGTATGGAAAAGAGACGATGATAGAATTTCCATTTTTGGATAAACGATCCAAAAGATGAAGCACTAAGTGAAAATACTATCCTGCCACTCTAATGACGATATTTCTGTTCTCACATCTGTTAGTTCTACTGGTTGGTGTTTTTATAAGTGAGGCAGTGTTAGCGTGACTGTGAGGTTAATGGTTCTTGCTCTGGCTGGGTTTGGCAGGCATTCGGCAGCTCCAGCTCATGCTCTTGAAGATCGCTCTGCTTCTGGGTGTGGAGTTTCACGTAAATGTGGAGTTCGTCAAGCTGGTGGAGCCTCCAGAGGACCAGGAGAATGAGGGTGAGACTGACGGCCCCAGATGCAGACTAGACGACAGTCGAAAGTTTGGACACACCTACTCAATGTCTATTATTGCTACTTCTAGAATAGTAAACATTTACATTTGGCAGACGCTTTTATTCAAAAGTGACTTACATTGCATTCAAAGTACACATTTTACATTTTTATCAGTTCTTGTTTATCCAGTTTCCCTGGGAACTGAACCCATGACCTTCGTGTTGCTAGCGCCATGCTTTGCTGTTTTTGGCTACTGAAAAGAAGATAATACTATAAAAAAACAACACAGATGGTAATATATGGTTATGTAGCCATCACGAAATGCTATTTTATATATTTGCTTCTTCAAAGTAGCTGCCCTTTGTTTGGATAATACTTTGATTACTTAACTTAATATCCCATAGTTTTATTAGACACCACATAAGCTTGAGTATTGAAATGTTAATCTATACTCATCTTGATGAATCTGGGTTCTTTTGATTTTGCTGTCTCTGTATTACAACATTTTCTTTGGAGCAGTTTAAGGTTTTCTGGGCTGGGCTGTCATTACCAGGAAGATGAAGGGATGGAGTGCTTCCTGCCTCACTATAATAGCTGTTTCCATGACAACCAAACAACACCTGCAGAGTTGTTAATGCAACTTTAATGGCCATGAAAAAGTGTTCAGATGCACTTCACTCTCCCCTCCCGTATCCAAATGTCATTTTATGACTACATAGCATGCACAACGTTCACCCATTACACACCGCTCTGCTATCTCGTTTCACAAGATTTTTAAAGATCAGAGAAATTAAGAAACTGATTAGTTGATCTTGATAATTAGAAACACAACTCAAAGGTCCAAGGAGTTGGTTTCCATATGTGACCACTTTGGTCATCTATGGTAGAACAACATTGCGTAAGCTTCTCCCCTAGACTTCTAGACCATTAGCAATCTATCTTTCTCCCTTCAACAGCAATGACAGCAGGCAGATAAAAACAAAAGTGCTTTCTAAATTAAGAATGTGTGCTTGCTGTGACCCTGTGCTATGGCCTTGAGCGAGACTCATGATCCTGGATATAGTTCAGTTGGATCTCAAGTTCTCAACTTGTGTTAAACAGTTTTGGTTTATTTTGCTTTTAAGTTGTACTCTAAACGTTTGACACTGATGGTTGGCTATTATTAATAATAGCTGAATGACTTGCTGTGACTGTATGTTTCTGGAATGCATAGTGTTCTTGGCACGATTGCATAATGCATACACGAGTAACATTACCTAGTCTTGTTAAAATATGTAGTTAGAAATTTTTTTTTTCCATTTAACAGATTATTTCCATTTAAAACAACATGCGGTTCACTTACAGCAAGAACAGTTTGTCAGAAGTGAACTTGGGTCAAGTGTCTTGAAATATTTTGATATTTGTATTTATTGTCTTATCGCTCCACCCAGCTCCTGTCCTCCCTAGAGGAAAAAATATTGCTCAGATGTTGCTTGGGAGATTTAATGAGTTCCCAGTTATGTATCAACTCTCAGATGCTTCTGAAATTCCTTAGGAGAAATAAAAATTGAAACAACAGAGTCAATTGTTGGCATGCTGTAAAAATATAGAGCTATAAAATGAATGTGGATAACAACTCAGTTAATTACGTTTTTGGAGTTTGAGTCATTATTAAGATCTCTTCTTAAACTCAAGAGTAATCATATGTAGATTACTAGAGTTGTTTTCTTAGTACAATCATCTGAAAAGCAAGATATGTCTATTTTTATTTCTCAAATAAGTCAATGCCTGGCATGCAGTAAGAGTACAGAGCTATGAAATTAAATTGGTAGCAGCTCAGATAATTAAATCTTTGGAGAGTTTGATGAGAAACGTTTGAGTTCATATTTAAAACTCAGACTTTTGCAGAATTTGACATAATGGCAAATCTGAGCACAATTTGAGACACTGTTGAGATATTCTCTGAAACTCAAGAGTACTAGTGTCATTTTCTCAGTAGAAACATCTGAAAAGCATATGAAAATCTCATTGTTCTCTTGGAGATATTAAAAAGATCTCAATTGTGATTTGGTTTGAGTTCATATTTAAAACTCAGACTTTTGCAGAATTTGACAATGCCAAATCTGAGCACAATTTGAGACACTGTTGAGATATTCTCTGAAACTCAAGAGTCCTAGTGTCATTTTCTCAGTAGAAACATCTGAAAATCTCATTGTTCTCTTGGAGATATTAAAAAGATCTCAATTGTGATTTGTGATTTGTCACTTTTGCAGCTGAATGATTGCGTTTGTTTCTGCAGGGCCGGGTTGGAGGGCAGAGATCCGGCCTGCGGATCACCCTGTGGCCGACTTCAACTTTGATGTGGTGGTGGGAGCTGATGGGAGACGAAACTCTTTAGAAGGTATGAGCTCAAATGGGTGAAGATGATGCAATCGCTGCTCATGAGAAATAAAATGTAAAATCTGCCATGCTGAATTACATATATCATGTGGACTAAAATAAACACACATGCAACCTTCTGTTTGCACAGTAACTAAGAGGCTATAATAATCTTTGCTCTATGATTACAAACTGTTCTAGCAGTTACTAAAATTGTACCTGCCTAAAATATGATAGCATGTACATGAAAATAGCATGTCATATGGTCTTTCAAATAATGTAATAGCATACTTCTCAACAAGCCACACAATTTGAGGTATTATTCACGTCTGGGGCACAAACTATGAATTTGAGCAAAATGGCAAATGTAGAAATAGTTAACCCAAAAAATGAAAATTTACTGAAAATCTACTCACCCTCAGGCCATCCAAGATGTAGATCAGTTTGTTTCTTCATCTGAACAGATTTGGGGAAATTGAGCATTATATCACTTGCTCATCAATGGATACTCTGCAGTGAATGGGTGCCGTCAGAATGAGAGTCCAAACAGCTGATAAAAACATCACTATAGTCCACAAGTAATCCATACAGCTTTTCACTGTATTGACATTGATAATGAACTGGAGTTGTTTGGATTACTTGTGGATTATTGTGATGATTTTATCAGCTGTTTGGAATCTCACTCTGAGGGCACCCATTCACTGAAGAACATCTGTTGGTAAAGAAGTGATCCAAACTTCCAAATCTGTTCCGATGAAGAAACAAACTCATCTGCATCTTGAATGGTACATTTTGAGCAAATTTTCATTTTTGGGTGAACTATTCCTTTAAACAGCACTAATAAAACGTCTTCAGATATAATCCAAAACCTCTCTTTGTTACACTCTTTCTATCATTAAAACAACCTCAGCAACTCTTAAAATTTGGCCCATGCTCTTGGCCGAAGTCCCTAGAATGCATTGTTTCATCTAAGAAGGTTATTAAGCCATAAAATCAAGTTCTGCTGTGTAAAGCGATACTGCATGATGTCACCAGCCGCCCACCGGTTACATATGAGATCAGCGAGTCAACATGTGCTCTTGAGGAGCTCTCAGGGTTTCTGAACACTTTTCAGCTGATGATGTGTGTCCGTTGGACTCTGTTTTCCAGGTTCGTCATCTTTTCGCTTATCCCTAATCAGATGCTTTTTCCAAAAAAGGCCATTTGTGGGGCCTTCCAAACTATGAGATGTTAGCTCATTGCCCAATTATGAGTAACTTCAGGGAAAAAGGAACCCAGCTTGTTTTGGACATTAAGTGAGCTAGTTCAGGACATCTAGGGAAAGTTAAATTTATCCCAATCTGAGGCAGAGCAGCAGTCAGACGAAAGCAGCTGAATTTGGACCGAGTAACGCAGATGACAAAGAGGAGAACTGATGTCTTAGTGAGTTAACAACATGGCAGTAATGGAACAGTTCTGGCTCTTAATCAAATCTGTGTCTGTTCGTAGAGAAGCTCTGTAGAGCCTCATACATTATTTTGCAGGATGAGAAAGCAGAGCCAATTCTCCACGACCCAAGTCAACCCACTCAACAGCCATTAAAAATGAACAGCTTGTGCTGTTTTTGTAAAATTTGCCAGGCTGGGATGAACTTATTTGGCTAATGCATAAAGGCACTTTTTGTTCCTTTTTTTGTAGGCCTCTAACACATCTTTATCAGGCATGATGCAATACAATCTCTTTTGAGTCAATCAGAGTATCTAAAACAAAAAGAAATAAAGAGAAACAGAACATTTTGTCGATCTCTTTAGGATTCTCTATTTGAGTACAAATATTCTGAAAAGGTAGTTTTTGCCTTTTTATTTGTTATGCACATTAGCAGTGTCTTAGGAAATCTCTAGATCCTTAAAAAATGCATAAGGGCTTTAAAAACTACAGATGAATATTATAGACATTTGCAACTGCAGAGATTTACTTCACAGACTCAGTATATCCATATTCAGTGATTGAAGGGATAGTTCACCCAGAAATGAAAATTCTGACATCATTTGCAAGTTGTGTTTGTGATGTTACAAAATTGCAGCATCTCCACTTAACCTGTCCACATGCATTACAAAAAATAAAGTTTTGAAAGTCCTCCATTTAAAAGGCAATTTCAAAAATCTCAGTTCCCTTTCAGGAACTCAAGCTGCGTTGAACGCTTTGGGAATGCCCCCGGCGAGACCACGTTCTGAAGCATGTGTGAAATTTGCATGTTGTGTTTGTGATGTTACAAAATTCCAGCATCTCCACTTAAAAAACAGGCTAATTTTCATTTTTGGGTGAACTAACCCTTTAACCTGTCCACATGCATTATAAAAAATAAAGTTTTGGCAATTTCAAAAATCTCAGTTCCCTTTCAGGAACTTGAGCTGCGTTGAACGCTTTGGGAACTCGTTCTGAAGCATATGTGAAATCAGTCCAATAGAGAAGCGAGACGTCACGAGCGGGGTGACGTGAGCAACCAGGAAGCATAAAGGTGCATCCGGCAAGCACACATGTTAGAGGGTTATGAGAAGGGTTATGGGGTGATGCCGGCGGTGGAGCAGACACTTGCGAGTTATCGCTCCCCGTCCTCAGCATCATCCCTGAAGGCCCTGAAACTTCCCACCAGGCCAGTAAAGCTGACATCTAACCTGGTTGGGAAAGCTTATACGGCGGCAGGTCAGGCCGGTGCGTGTCTGCACACTAAGGCGGTGTTGCAGGCGTACCAGGCTGACCTGCTTAAAGACCTGGATGATAGGGAGGAAGAGGAATCCGACGTAGTCGCAGAACTACACCGGGCCACAGATCTGTCGCTTCGGGCCACTAAAGAAATGGCCAGAGCCATCAGCCGTTCAATGGCAGCATTGGTGGCCACGGAGCGGCACCTGTGGTTGAATCTGTCCGAATTACAGGATAAAGACAGATTTTTCCTGCTGGATGCTCCGCTATTGCCTTCTGGCCTCTTCGGCGGCGCAGTCGATACTGTCGTCGAGAGGTTTCAGGAGGTGAAGAAGCAGGGGGCGGCATTCCAATACTTCCTCCCTCGCCGTTCCCAGGTTTTTGGGACTGCTAAGCAGGAGCAGTCCCAGCCGTCCAGCTCCTCATATCGCCAGACCCAGAAACAGAGTCTCGCGACCTCACACCAGACAGGGACTTGCTCATATGGCGCAGTGGGTATTCTCGTTCCCAAAGCGTTCGACGCAGCACGAGTTCCTGAAGGGCAACGTCTCGAGGTTACGTATATGTAGCCATGGTTCCCTGAAGGGAATGAGACGCTGTGTCTCCCTGCCATACTCCCTGTGTCCCTGCAGGCGCTGGCTTCCGCAGAAGTTAGCATGTGCGCTTTGCCGGATGCACCTTTATGCTTCCTGGTTGCTCACGTCACCCCGCTCGTGACGTCTCGCTTCTCTATTGGACTGATTTCACACAGAACATGGTCTCGCCGGGGTTTTCCCAAAGCGTTCGACGCAGCGCCTCGTTCCCTTCGGGGAACCATGGTTACATACGTAACCTTGAGATGTTTTCAATGACCAAGTGCAAAATGCTGCGAATGTGTGGAAAGAGGCCAAAATTAATAGAAAATATTTTCAAACATATTGCATTTGTGTGGAGGAGGCCTTGGTAGGCCGGTGAAATATCAGCCCATACTGTAACTACCAGCCCATAACTGTTCATTAATCATCAACTATCTTCAGGTCAAATCAAATGTTTTATTTTTGTCATTGATATACTATGTTTGTTAATTTTTTTTATTTAATTTTATTTTTATGTTTTAAGTTTTCAAGTTTTAGTTTGAGTTTATTTAGTTTTAGTTATGTTAGTACTTCAAGTTAAACTAAATTAAAATGAGAAATATTGTCTTGGCAACTACCTAAAATAAAATAAGTTTAAGTTTTTTAATATTTTATTTTATTTCAGTTAATGCTTATTTTATTTCAAGTAATGATTTTTTTATTTAGTTTTAGTTAAAAATAATAATACTGGTCACATCAAGTCTTTATACTATACAGATTGTTTCAAAGCAGCTTCAACAGGAAAAATAACAGTGTCAATGTTGTAAAATTCATAAATTATGAAACAAATTCGATTTCAGCTTTAAAGCAGCTCTAAATATTAGACAATAGTGTCATAATTCAGCTCAATTTAGTTCAGTGTTGTTTCAGTTCAGTTTAGTAAGTGTCGATGTTGTAAAGTTTGTGTCATTATCCAGCTTAATTCAGTTCAAATTTTCTCATTCAATAGTGTCAGTACAGTTAAATTGAAAATATTACTGAATATGAAGTCTTAAATATCTTCTTCTTTTAAATATAATATATAATTATATTAAATATCTTCAGATGGGCAGTATTCGTTGTGGACTTTGCCGCTGATTTAACTGATTTAAAAAATGGGCTTGTAATACTGGTAGAGTGGCATGTTTGTGCTGCATTAGTTTACCTCTATCAAACACGAGGAAACAAATGCAACTACTAAACCCTTTTCCCCTTGTTTTTTTCTCCCTTCTTCTTTCTCTCTTTCTCAGGATTTAGGAGGAAGGAATTTCGTGGCAAACTGGCCATCGCCATAACAGCAAACTTTATCAACAGAAACACCACCGCTGAGGCAAAGGTCGAGGAGATAAGTGGAGTTGCCTTCATCTTCAACCAGAAATTCTTTCAGGATCTCAGACAGGAAACTGGTGAGCAATATGCGCCACATTAGCCACTAAAAATACACCACATTAGTCTAAACTAAGCATCCAGCTCCCTGGATAATAAAGAAATATCTCCCAACCCTCTCAACCATGTACTTTCACCTCTTCCCGGCATTTCCCGCGATGATTTCCATAAGCGTGTCAGTGTTATCTGCTGTTTGGAGCAGCCATATTTCAGTTATCGTCTTCTTGCACTGATTTGTCACGTAAATGTTTATTCTCCGGGGATTATGGGCTTCCTCCCTTCAAACACTTACGTATGCTTTGTATACCTGCCGTGACTTGTACCCCTTTGAAACTGAATTCCTTTAAAATCCTGTATTAAACTCACTCTGACCTCATGAGATTCGTTATGTCATATTACAGGCATAAAGATGTTACAGATGAGTATCTCTGACAGATTTAAGTAATACCACAATTTTGTCTCTTTCGTAGGGATTGATCTTGAGAACATTGTCTACTACAAAGACAACACACATTACTTTGTCATGACAGCTAAGAAGCAGAGCCTGCTGGACAAAGGTGTCATCATTCATGTGAGTTGGTTGCTTTACTCTGTGGCAAGTGTCGAGTGAACTATTTTTCTCGGCTTCCTCCAAGATGGAGGGACCAGACGCCTAAAAGCACAACATGAGTCCAGAGGCTTATAAACACTCCTAAGGAGCACATATTTATCAGGGGGAGAGAGACAGTCACAAACGCTCTCTGGTACTCTCAGTTCTTGGGCCTCGTCATTGACGCACATTAGGGTTGTTGGCAATGTCTGTGCTGATCTGATTCACGCAGTGAGTCAAGTGCTAGAACTGAGTGTGCGGCTTACAGTCTTCACCTATTTTGGATTGTGGCCAGCTTTGGAAAGTCATCCAATCTTTCCTCAAGCCATTTTTTACCCTGTCTGATGGCAGATATTTTATTTAGTGTCTGTTTGGCAAAGATCTGGATTTTTCTGGTCAAGGTAATTTCTGCACCACTAGTGCCACCCCCAGTATGTATATATGTACATATATATCAAATATTGATTTATTTTTCATTGAAAATATTTAAGCATCCTAACAACAAGATAAATTTACTTGAGGAACAAAGTTGCATAAGATATTAAGACTTATTTTCAGAGAATAATTTTTTTGTTTGTGTGTTTTTGGTGTTGTTTTTACTAGCATTTAGTGAGGTTTATTTTTAGGGGGGAAAGGTAAATAATAGTGTTCAAGATATACAGTATATATATATATACTGTATATATATACATACTGTATATATATACAGTATATATATATATATATATATATATATGTGTGTGTGTGTGTGATTTTGAAGAACTACACTACTATATTCTACAAAAGTTTACATTTAAGGACTCCAAAATGTGTACTCATCAAGTAATTAAATATTTTACTTAGATCTTGTAAACATATTAGTGTACATATCTTAATATTTACAATATTAAAATATAAAATTATTTTAAAACATCAATACGTTTTTGGTGATTGTACCATGATTTTACAATTAAATTCATCAAATTTAATTGGACATTTTACAGCCTGAACATGAATTAGTCATTTTACATACTAAAAAAGATCTGATTATCTGATATTTTAAGACTTACTGACCTTGACACACACTCATAACTATTTTTGTTTCCTACGTTTCGATCTTCATGTTTGTCACACTACATGACTTTATTTTAAACATTTATAATATTTTTTAACAAAATTGTTTCACTGTTTAATTTTTCTAAATACTAATAAATTAATAAATAAATAATATCCTTTTAATAAGGCTTGAATGCACACTTTTCAATTTATTTTGAAAATATATCCATGAAAAAATTTACCATCTTGACCCTTAAACTAAAAAAAGTTTTTTTTTTTCCTTTGGTTAAAAAGTGTTTTATTCTTGATGATCTGTCTCCATTCTTGTACTGAATAAGAACTTTTTACAGTATAATCCCTCAGTCATCAAGTCCCACCTTATGTTTTTTCAAAGTATCTGTTTCATTCAAAAATGTCATATTTTGGAAGTAAAATGCATTGTAAATAACGTTTCATGTTGACCAAAGAACCAGCTATCACAGCGCATAATCTATCAGTAGACATTAGTTTTGACTTGCTAGCAGTCTTACTGTATATTGTAGCAAATTAGCTCAAAAGGGAAATGTATATAAATAATTAGTAGTAACTGTAACAGAATTAATATTGCCATCAACTAATCTGTTCGTCCAGCAAACATTCAGTGTAAATTAATATCAACTCTAAGAAAGGATATTTTCATGGCCACAGAAAATATCATTCCTACAGTATTAATGCATTAGACTAGAGCATGTAGCTGGATCAGAATCGTAAAGGGACATTATTTACAAGCAGGACCAGAAACTCATGTAATTTGTGAACAAAGGTTTTATTAACTAAACGCTAACACATATAACTACTCTAAACAAACAAACATACAATCGCTCATTCATAGGGAAAGGGAAAGTGAGACTGGATGAACCATTATAGAAACAAGAAAATGCAGCTATGGAAAAGGAGTCAGTTAACCTTTGAGTGAAACCATCAGCGATGTTTTACAACGGGGTCGTTAGCTTATACTAAACCTATGTTTCGTTTAGTTAAATGTACGATACTTACATTGCCTTGGTCGTTGACGAGTGTCCGGATTCAGTCTCGGATGAAAGTCTTGATGGTTTCAAGGTTTGGACTTGCGATCACGTTCTTCTGGGTTTGAAGAATTATGAACCCCAAAGATGTTCTGACTCGATGGTGATTGGGAGTTTCTTCCCAGGTGGAAAGTGAAGAAGAGCTAAGAGAGATCAGCTGAGCTCCTAGGATCTTTGATGAATGGCCTGGCTCAAACTTAAGGGGTCCAGAAGAGTTCTAGCTCAGCATCCCCATCCTCTTAGGATCTAAAAGAACCACAGACTGAGCTGTGTCGAGGCCTGCCAGGCACGGCAGCGCCGGCTCTGGGACTTAGCAACCAGAAGATGGGAGGGTGATGAGAGACGAGTAAAGAGACTAAAAGACAGGCGGGTCGGGTGATGAGGAGTAAAGAGACTAAAAGACAGGCGGGTCACTGAAGTGAGGCCTTTTAAGTTCTGTGGAGGTCAAAACTCTCAGGGGTCAAAGATCCAATGGGGACTTGCACTTCTGGAGGGAAAGTTTACGGCTCTTTGTCTCCGGACATGGTCATTTGCATATGTAACTGGATTGGATGTTGATGCAAAGACAACTAAAAATTCTTAGAACACTAATATTTAGCATAGGTATAAACATATAATATACACTCTCAATTAGATCATCCAAAGATGAATACATAGAGACCAAACATGGTATAGGTGAGTTTGCATTAACTAGTGATCTATCATAAGCATCCACAAGACCATATACAAGGAGGTTGTAATCATACACAAAGACCTGGGGATATGCATGATAGGAAAGTCAGAGAAAAATTATTCTATGAATTAATGAAAGAAGTCATTTCCTATAGCAGTATACTGTATGTCTGTTTTAGAGAGAATTGAGTAGGGAGGAAGATTCTCCCTACATACTTTTAGGTCGTAAAGTTTATCTGATCTGGCTGAGGTGTCCTGGCCTGGAGATCGTTCACAGACATATAGGCACCGAGTCTGGTGTTGGGTGAGGGGTCTGTGATTGTTTGTTAATCTAATGAATAATTGATTTGTTAAATCTAATGAACAATTGTGTGTCTGATTGGTCCAAATGCTAAAATATTTGGTATGATTTTTTTTTTGTATTTACTAGGATTATATTGACACTGAGGCACTGCTGAACAGTGAAAACGTGAATCAAGAGGCTTTGCTGGCATACGCACGAGAGGCAGCCGACTACGCCACCCACTACCAGCTGCCCACGCTGGACTACGCCATGAACCACTGCAGTCAGCCTGATGTGGCCATGTTTGATTTCACAAGCATGTATGCCTCAGAAAGTGCCGGTCTTGTCCGGGAGAGGTTTGGTCACAGTGTGCTGGTGGCACTAGTGGGAGACAGTCTTCTAGAGGTGAGGAGGATACATTACTGTGCAGTTATACTTAAATAATCATTCTTGTGCTTATTTATATTTATGATCATTACGTTTGATTCTGATGATGTGTTTCTGGTTGTCTGTCTTACTGTAGCCCTTCTGGCCTATGGGGACCGGCTGTGCCCGCGGCTTCCTGGCAGCCTTTGACACGGCTTGGATGGTAAAAAGTTGGGCGCAGGGTAGAAATCCACTTGAGGTGCTGGCAGAGAGGTCAGTGAAGGTCAAATTTAACATGTGCCAACAATAACTGCACACACAGTCACACTTGCGCCATATGAATACACCACCATGTTTTCATCTATAATATATGACTATTTGGTCATACTAAAATGATAAATGAATGAATGAATTAATAAATAAATCAATAAATCTATATATTTTTTTTCAGATTTCAAAGATGTTGAAAGTGTTAATATGCACTTAAAACACTATTAATAGCTTGTTTATGTAGTTGTTTTGTTTTTATTCTTCTAGGGAGAGTCTGTACCGATTGTTACCTCAAACAACACCTGAAAACATCACCAAAAACTTTGATTTGTACACCATAGATCCAGGAACACGCTATCCCAACCTTAATTCCAGCTGTGTCAGGCCACACCAGGTGAGATGACATTACTATCTGTGCACAGTATATTGTCATTAAAAAATCACATGGTAAAATCACTGCAGTTCACAACCTCAAGTGAGCTATTGCTTTTATAAAGCACCTATGACTATGAGGATGCTGGCCAAAAGCTTGGAATAATTATGATTTTTTAATTTTTTTTTAAAGAAAGTCTCTTATGTTCAGCAAGGCTGCATTTATTTGATCAAAAAAAGTAATATCATGTGCAATATTATTGCAATAAAAAAAAAAAACACCTCAGTTTTACTATATTTTAAAATGTAATTTATGATGGCAAAGCTGAATTTTCGCAGCCACGGATTTTGCTGCTTAATATTATTTGTGGAAACCTATGCCAATACCATTCATTCAAGTTTCAAGGTATTGTAAGTAAGATATTAAATAAAAAAGAAATGTATATTTTTACATATATTTTGACAGTAAAGACATTTATAGTATCCTGATAAAATATTAAGCAGCCAAAACTCTTTTCAACATTTATAATAAGAACCATTATTAATAATTGAGCATAAAAGATAATTACTGAGCACCAAGTCAGCATATTAAGGAAAGGCAGCCTTGGTGAGCATAAGAAACTTCTTTAATAAACATAACAAATTCTTTTTTATTCGAAAAAATTACTCCAAACTTTTGACATGTACTGTATGTAAACACAACAAATAAATAAATAAGCCTAACTGTAGTCTACTTATAGCTGCCAAGCAAATTGGCACATTAATATAGTAAAACGGTAATATGCAAATCTGCTTTGCAACCACAAATGCCTACAGACAATTTAAACTGTTAACTATTTTTATTGTTGTTGTTCAACAAGGCTTTAAACATGGCTCTTCAATCAGTATTTAGAGATGTAAATATGATTTTTTTACAGTCACTCTGATTGAAACTGTCATTACTGTTTATTTTTCTCCTTTGTAGGTCCGCAACAACTATATCTGTGGAGAGTTGAAGCCGTGCTCTCTGGAACGGGCCGCCACGATACGCCGCCCTGTCAACTTGGCCAGGCGAGGTTAGAAGAAACTTCTAATCAGTCTAACACAGATATATAATTATCCTCTACTCTTTTACATGAGTGCACCATACAAGAGTTCCTCAAGAGTTGCCGCCACTGTATATGAGAGCTGAGATTTGCATATTATAATCATAGGCAACAGGCAATTGACTCGAGTTAAGACGAGTGTTTACAGAATTCCTACCTTCTGCAGATAACAGGCAGCTCCTGTTTTAGGAACGTTCTCAAAACAGCAGAGCGAGCGCACTCCTCCCACGATGTGGCAGGTTCAGGGAGAGGTAGAATTTATTTCTGCTGAGGGAATTCGACCCAGACTGAGATTTGTTATTACCAGCAGAGCCAAAGTGAGAAGATTACTACCCTAAGTAAAGAGTAAGGAACGCTCCAGACATGCTGCTCAAAGGAATCGTTCACTCATAAACTGGAACTTCATTATTTACTCATTCTCAAACCTGTATGATCATCTTAGTTTCGTGAAACTTAAAAGAAGAAATTTTGAATGTTCATGCTGCTTATTTCCATACAATAAAACATAATGACAGTGGGCTATAAAAACAACTTTTATGAATTGTACACTATATTCAAAGTCTTCTGAGGCCCCTGCCACTGTCAACGTTTGTTCACAGAAAACAGCAGCATGAACATTTCTCTGAGTATCTTTATTTGTGTTCCAGAGAAGAAGAAAAAAAGGTCATACAGGTCTTGAAGAACATGAGAGTGAGTAAACAATGACTGAATTTATATTTTTTGGTGAACTATCCTTTTAATGTCTTTGCCTTTGAAACGTTCTATTAAATAGATACTAGAATACACACTACTGGTCAAAAAAAGGAATTTTTAATTATTATTATTATTTATTTTTATTTTTTTGAAAAACATCTCGTATGCTTAAAAGTCTGCATTTATTTAACTGAAAATACAGTAAAAATAGTGATACTGTGAAACTATTTAAAATTACTGTTTTCTATTTTAAATAATAAAATGTCTTTAAAAATCTTCAGATTCTGATATGCTTATTTGGTGCTCAATTATTATTGCTACTATATTTTTGTGGAACTCATGATACATTTTTTTTAGGATTATTTGATTCAAAAATTCAAAAATAAATAGAACATACAAAAACTGATCATGCTTGATAATAGTTAGAAATGTTTGATGAGCACCGAATCAGCATATTAGAGTCATTTCTGAATAATCATGTGACACTGAAGACTAGAGTAATGATGCTGAAAATTCAGGAATAAATTACATTTTAAAACATATTCAAGTAGAAAAAATATTTTAAATTGAAATAATATATTGCAATATTACAGTTTTTATTGTATTTTTGGTCAAATAAATGCATTATGTTGAGCACAAGATACGTCTTTCAAAAATATATATATAAAAAATCTTAATTATTCCAAACAGTAGTGTACATTAGTTAGAAATGTGCTGTACATGCACTTTTCTGCTGAACTTCCTCTTTCCCTGGCTAAATTAGCCTCTTAACAGGAAATAGATAAAGAGGCAAAAACAGAAATACCACATATATTTAGGTTCTGGTCATGCTGCTGTTTCCTAAATCAATAACAATAAATCCTTTCCGCTATTGCTGTTCCTTTGAGCTTGTTGACATGTGGCTTTACTGCACCTAAAAACAGTTGTTAGCTGTTAGGGTGACACACTACTCTGAAACAAATAATAAAGAGTGTGTTGCGTAAGAGGAGCATTATGCTGCTGTGAGATTGATGAGGCAAGTTCAGACACCTGACAAAGAGAAAACGTCACCTTGACTCTCAGTCCAGATCAACCTTTGTATATATTTTCATATAGCTAAAGTCTCAGGTTCTCAGAGTTTTTGGGTTGATCAGTTTTAAAATAACATTTTCCTCTGCTTGTGTGTGTGTTTAACAGAGTCTGAGATCAGGCCGAGTCGGTTACTGACGTGGTGTCAGAAGCAGACAGAGGGCTACAAGGGTGTGAATGTGACTGACCTCACTTCCTGCTGGAGCAGTGGCCTGGCTCTCTGTGCTCTCATACATCGCTTCAGACCACAGCTCATGTAAGATGCTTTACAACATCTCTCTTCTACAGGAAACATAATCAGAACACTGTTTTCCCCTTTTAAAATTTGCATTTAATATCTGTAACTAATATTGTGATCAGTAGAATCACTTAAAGTATTGTGTCTAAGTATTATATGACTGACACTTACATAGTACTATGGTACAGTGTAGTTAGTGATATTGTATGATTACCATTATTCATATACAGTACCATGGTATTTACATGGTACTCCAAGGTACTTAAAGTGGTCATATGATGCGATTTCAATTTTTCCTTTCTCTTTGGAGGGTTACAAGCTCTTGGTGCATAAAGAAGATCTGTAAAGTTGCAAAGACTAAAGTCTCAAATCCAAAGAGATATTCTTTATCAGCATCATATGACCCCTTTAATAGAATACTGTGGTATTACCATGGTGTATGTTTAAATATTGCCATGGTACCTTGTGCAAAAAACCCCAAAACAAAACATGCTAAACAACAGTGTCTTTAGTACATGTTTTCTAGATTGTCCAGAATTAGGTGTAAACATGGTATTACAATAGTGCCATGTCCAAAAAAATGCATGATATTGGTATTACCATGGTACAAAGTAAAAAACAAAGTATTACTATTCTACCTGCTACCATGTGCAAAAAACAAACAAACATAGTATTACCATTTTCCAGTACCATATGTTGGTGCTATCTAAAAAAATCATGGTGCCATGCACACAAACCCTTTTTTTTTTTAAATGGCATTGGTATTATCATTGTACAAAGTGACAAAAAACATGGAATTACTACCATGTGAAAAAAAACAACAACAACTTGGTATTAACATTACAGTACCTTTTTCTTTTTCACAGATGGTAATACCAATGCCATGTTTTTAAAGACATGGTACCATGTTTTATGGATATAATACCAGGGCAATACTATGTTTTTTAGACTTGGTACCATGTTAAAATAAATATATTTCTTTAAAAAACATGGCATCAAGTCTGAAAAAACATAGTATTGCTCTGGTATGATATCCAAAAAACATGGTACATGTCTTAAAAACATGGTTTTATAGTTTCACATCATATATCAAAAAAACAAAACATGAGACCATGTCCAGAAACCCTTTCTTTTTCTTGTTGTTACTGAAAAAAAATTACATTAACATGGTATGGATAATATTGATAACCGTGATAATTTAGCTCACTATAATCGTGATAAGAAATTTTCATACCATTACATCTCTAGGTACTATATCCCCCCCAAAAAACAATGTGCATGTATAAAAACCATGGTATACTTTGATACCATATCCAGAAAAAAAATACTAAAACATCATGGTGTCATGACCAAAAATTAAATTTGTAATACGTGCTAATATTGTCCATTCTAAAGGATGAATCAGGCAGTCCTTAATAAAACAGTAGTTTACATGACACTTTGATAATATTCATCTGATGAGTGAAACATTAGCAATGGAATTAAGTCGTAAGCACATTTAATAAATATTTGGTCTGCTTCCTGACATACCCACAAATCACGTTCTGTTTTGGCAACCATACCAGTCAACTCTCCTGTATGTTTATTAGCTTTTGCCTTTGCACAGTTAGTTACTGTGTAATCCTAAACATGAGCAGGACATGTGAAAAGCACTTTGACCCCATGAGAAATCGCTTTCCCATGTTACAACTTTTTCCCTTCGAAAACAGATATCCTGCTACACGATACTTATTCATCTAAACAGCGTGACTGTTAAACTTCAGCGTTCTTGGCTGAGAAAGCGTTTGAACAGCATAACCATGTGCAACATTTCACACATTTTATCAAGGGCCATTTTTCAAGTCTGTGATTTGAGATTGTCAAAAGTAGCTTAAAGAAAGCAGAGAAGTTTCACAGCTGCACATTGTCCTTTCTTTGCATAAATGTCAAGAGGGCAGCTTGTTTAATTCAGGTCTCATGCTCTCTGTTCTTATCACCTTGTTTCCTGTAGTGATTATGACTCTCTCAATGAGCAAGACTGTGCCAAAAACCTTCAGCTGGCATTTGATGTGGCGGAGAAGGAGTTTGGCATTAAGCCTTTCATCACAGGGAAAGAGCTGGCGGCAGGTCAGGAGCCGGACAAGACCAGCATGAGCAACTACCTCTCCAAGTTCTACGAGCTCTTCCGGGGAACGCCTCTACCTCCCTCAGGTAGATCATGAACTCTTTCATTACAACCCTATTAGGATCACTGGCTGTGTTTGGAATGGTAAACTAGTATACTACTTGTGACGAATACTTTATGCAGAATCAACTACACTATTATTTAAAAGTGGGTCGGTAAGGTTTTTGTAATGTTTTTTGAAGAAGTCTCTTATGCTCACCAAGGCTGCATTTTTTTTTTTTTTAGCAAAAATACAGTAAAACTGCAATATTGTGAACAATTATTATAATTTAATAATTGTTGATACATTTTTGTCAGGACACTTTGATGAATAAAAAGTTTAAAAGGAAATTATGTAACAATTTTGTAACATTATAAGTGCATTTACTGTCACTTTTGAATTGAATGCATCAATGTATGGCATCCTTGCTGAATAAAAGTATTAATAAAAAAATAATAATAATTGAATGGTAGTATACGTATATACAATAAGGTCTCCTTGACTTCTTTGATCGGACTCCGGAGATTTAAAAAAAATATACAAATATTACAAAAATATTGAATTTAAAAATAATTATTTTTTTACTTTCAAGAAGGACAAAACTTGCTTAATTAAATATGCATAAATATCTAGCATACTAGTATTTGAACATTTCTCCTTGCATTTTGATGAATTGAAAGTTAAAAAGAACAGCAATTATTTGAAATAGAGATCTTTTCTAACATAAATCAGTGCTGTTAAATCGATTAATCGTGATTAATCGCATTCAAAATAAAAGTTTGTTTACATATATACCTGTATGTGTGTGTATTTATATATACATATATACACAGTACACACACATATATTATGTAAACACAAACTTTAATTTTTGATGTGATTAATCATGATTAATCGATTTGACAGCGCTATTATAAATGTCTTTACTGTCACTTTCAATTTCCCTCATCAGTTTAATGGATGAAATTACTGAATAAAAGAATTAATTTAAAACAAAAGATCTTACTGACTCCAAACTTTGAACGATAGTGTACATGATCAGTTCAATTTGGTATTCACTTCATTTCTGGATGTAATATCAGCCACAAATTTTTTGACCTTGTTCTTTACCACCCTGGGTTAAAAATACAAATATAATACAAATATATACAGTATACTTGCTAAATTAAATATGCAGCATTAATGACAACAATCTAGTATACTAGTAATTGAACATTTCTCATTGCATGTTCGTTATTTCTAATACTGTAAGAGTGGGCAGTATGCAGTGTATATTTGCGTAGTATATAGTAAGCAGTACACTTAAATTTCACATCAAACATAGACATAGTCTCATAATTCACAGACTTTACTGCAATAAAAATATATTTTCAGCTCCTTCAGCTCTCAAAATATACATGGCATTGTTACATTTAGCCCATTAAAGGTGTTCAAAAATGAACCTTTTACACTGTCCAAAATCTATTACCTGCTTTGAGTGTGTCTTCCACCTAGTTTGCATAAGGTGTGTCCATTAAGGAAACACACAATGCATTTATGGAAAACCCCTAAAGAGAAGCATTTTATCTGGCCTTTTGCACTCGAACATTTGTGTCACACAATTCCTTCTGTCACGCAGTCATGCCAGGAATGCATGTCTGTCTGAAACCAGGTTACTGCCCTGCAGATCTGCACATCACCACAGTGGAGGAGGCCATAAATATTCCACATTATATATTGTCTGGCCTCAGAGACGTTAATACAGCACAACATATTATGTTGTAAAGTGATGTGTGTTTGGTTACAATGCTTATTTGTTGTAGTTGTTTATTCTCAAATGTCATGCAAATGTTTGTCATGTGGTTTATTGTAGATTCAAAGCGAGATGGTGATGCAAATAATGAAAAATGTCCATCAGGTTCTCCCAGACCTGTTTCCAAGTCATTGAGTTGGCTTCAGCCTCGTAAACGCATACCCAAGGTAGTATACAATGGATTTGATTTATTACAAGCACTTTTACAGTTTCTGTTTGGTGGACTTTCTTATTTTGTTGAAGTTTGGACATCACCTTCTAAAGCAAAATTTAACTTATTGTTCCTTAGAATGACAAAAAGACTGAAGACAATGATGCCATATACAAGAGAAGACGGAAAATTAGTTACTTAGAAGAGGTCAGTATTATAGTATATAATAACATACCAGTAAAAGCAAGTGAAACTAGAACTGCTCTCTGATTGGTCCACTTCTCTTCCAGCCAATCAGATCCATCAATCAGAGTTCTTCTGCATCCAATGAGGTGCGGGAACTGAAAGAAAACAAGGTCAAGTTTATGGCCACTCAGCTTCTAGCAAAATTTGAAGACAGCACCGCAAGCTGCTCTATTCGCAGACTGGTAAATACTATTTTGTCTGAACTCACGGCATCAGCTGAAGATTTACATTACATTTTCTTAAAGAAATAGTTCACCTAACAGTGAATATTCTGTCATTGTTTACTCTCTCTTATATCATCACATTTCCATTTTTTCTTCACTGGAACACAAAAAGAGCTATTTTGCAGAATGTTCTTGCTGCTCTTTTCCGTATCATCAAGGTGAAGGCTGTAGAGCTCCAATATACACTGTAAAAGCACTCTATATGTTTTGTGCGCAAAACTCTCTGAAGCCATACAATAGATTTTTGTAACAGACTGAATTTTTTATTGTCATTCACTGAAAATCTCTGCTGGTGCTCTAAAGTATCTTTCACAAACATTGAAATATGATACGTCATGATGTGTTGTACAAGGTTTGACATCAAGATATGGATCTTGATGGTTTAAGGCATATTGGTTTCAAATTATATTAAAATAATTACAAAATTAAGGGGTTAACATTTCTTTTACATTTTGGCTTTCTGAGTATTTCTGTGCTTAGTTAATCTCTTCTTTCTCTTTTCTTCCCTCTGTCCCTCTGACCCTGGCTTCCTTTTCTCTGAAACTGTTCCTGGTATAATGATTTCAGTCTGACTCTAATGATGAGAGGCCTCCAAGACCTCCATCGCTCGATATGACCGATAGCCCTCTCTTTAACATTATCAAGAAGAAAGTCCCACCACCCCCACCCCCTAAAAAACAGGTAGAACCTCCAAAGTCAGTGTACACCCACAAACAATACTTATAAAAAGTACCATTTATCACCTGGTATTAGCTTTCACATAATCTAAATAAATTATTTTTTGGTAATATTCATCTTTTTAAAACTCTACACTCGTTAAAATAAAGGTTCTTTATTGGCATCTGTGGTTCCATAAAGAACCTTTGAAGTTTTCCATTCAAGGTTCTTTATAGTCAGAAAAGGTTCTAAAGAATTTTTTTTAAATGTTCTTCAAAAGTGTTTTCTAAGAACTGTTCTTTAAAAAAGTTCTTTAGGGAACGTGGAAATAAATGTTCCAAAAAGGAGGTTTTGCAGGAATGTCATAGGAGAACAATTTTTGGTTTCCTTTCAGTCGGTCACTCTCGACGTCACGTCGGTGACCGATGAATTGGGAATCTCGCCACAGAGACCAATCCACTTTGAGTGTAACTAAACGAGCCAATGGACATTGGCATGCGGAATTCGCATCTGGCTGCCACACCCTGCAGCGCGGGTATAAGAGGCAGCAGGTGCACCACATTCATTCATGTTTTCGCTGAGGAGCTGAGCAGGTGACCCGGCAGCTCAGTGGTGGTACAGCAACTGTGGCAAACTGTGACACATGTAACCGAGACGTTCCCTTTCAGTCGGTCACTCTCGACGTCAAGTCGGTGACTGACGAATTGGGAATCCCTACCAACGCGCCACAGGTGCTGCCCCCTCCAGTGCCCTGTGTAGGCCTCCCGAACCTTCCTATAGAGCAGACCGGGCTCTACACAGAGAAGGTCGACTACTGCTGTTCCTCGAGCAACCCAAACAGTAGGACTTGGATAACATTGGGAAAGCATGCCCTTCCTACTTGGAAGAGGAACGCTGGGAGTCACCTCCTCCCAGAGGGGGTTGAGTGACATTTACTCATGTGGAGTAACCCAAAAGGGTCCTATTGCACATGGAAGTCTCTGAGATGGCTCAGGCTGCATCATCTAGAGATGCGATGCAACACCCCTAGTGGAGTGAGCATGCAGCCTGAGCGGGCCAGGAACACCTTGGGAGCAAGGAGCATGAGTTCCGGGAACCAGGTCCTGTTGGGCCAATATGGAGCCACTAACAAGGCCTGCTCCTCGTCCTCCCTGATCTTGCACAGCGTCTGTGTGAGTAGGCTCACTGGGGGGAACACATATTTGTGCAGGCCCCGGGGCCAGCTGTGTGCCAGTGCATCCGTGCCTTGGTTAGGGAGTAGAACCACTGGCAGTGGGTGGTTTCTGGAGATGCAAACAGGTCTACTTGAGCAACCGACGGGAGCGTAAATCGCCTTGCTGGTTGATATACGCAATGGTCGCAGTATTGTCCGTGCGGATCAGTACGTCCCTGCCCTGTAGGCACCCTCTGAGGCGGCTCAGGGCAAGGCGCACTGCCAGCAAATCGAGGCAATTGATATGCCAATGCAGTTGACCTAGCCAGCAGGACTGTGATTTCCGCACGCAAGACAGGGGCATCGACAGCTTTTACTGATGTGAACCGGATGCCCTGAACTTGGGGGGACGACAGGCGAATTGAATCGCGTAGCCGAGTCTGATGGTCCACAGGAGCCACCAAGACGGACTGGGGAGCGCTAACCAGGTTCAGAGAGACCGTGCCAGTGGAACCAATGGAGCCACCAACGTACCCGCAGTGAGAACACAGGGACCCGGCCCGGGGCCTGTAACGGCCACGCCTGTGACGGCAGAGGGCGGGGTCTGGGTGTGAAGTGTAACACTCACCTGATCCCTCCTCATGAGAGGGAGAATGCAGGCCCCCGGCTTGAGGCCTATAACAGCCTGGCGTGTGACGGCATGAAGCGGGGTCTTGAGCATCACAGCACCAACCTGGTTCCACGAATGGGCAGAGGGAGTGCTCCTGGGCAACCCACTGCTGCCCGCTGGTGAAAGAGGAGGAGGGAAGTGATCCTGTGATTTACAGTCCACCACTCTCCTCCTCTTGGGACCCAGAGACTGAGGAAACGGCTCTTTTTCTGAAGTTTTGGGTACCGCTGGCTGCTGGGCCAGCGGCGGAACACAAACAAAATGAAACAGAAGATTCTCCACCCGGCCCTCCTCCGGGAGAGGGAGTGGTGCGGTCACCATCTTCCGATGAGCAGTCCCCTCCATCTCCAGGTCACCAATCTCAGGGCCTCTTGCACTTGTCACCAGGTTTGGCGGGGGCCTGGACGGACTGGGCGTCCTGCCTACTCCCGGCTCCACGACGCTGCTTGGTGGAAGGCTGCAGCTGCTGCGTCCGTCGCAGTACACAGTTCATCTAGAACCGCCAGGTCATGACCACCCTCGTGCAGGTCCCTCACGGCTTTGGCCTGATGAACCTGCAACAACGCCATGGTGTGAAGGGCAGAGGCCGCCTCCCCACAAGCTCTGTAAGCACTGCCAGATAGACCTGACGAATACTTACAGGCCCGCGAGGGGAGACACGGATCACCCCGCAGAGTGGTAGCGGCCGTAGGACACAGTTGCATGGCCACCGACCGCTCCACCAAGGGAATGACCGTGTACCCCAAAGTGGCCCCGCCATCGAGGGTGGTGAGGGAGGAGGAGCTGCACGATTTGTTTCTGGCAGTAAAAGGTGCCTTCCACGATCTTGTGAGCTCCTCATGCACTTCCGGGAAGAATGGCACCATAGGGGGGGCGCTGAGAACCAGCGCGAGCCCCACCGACGAACCACTTATCCAGCCTCGAAGGACCGGGATGCAGTGGAGGATTCCACACGAGCCCGACATTCTCGGCGGCCTGGGAAAGCATAACCGTCATCTCTGGGTCTGACTCGGGCAACGCCACTCTCCCCGAAGGGGGCAACGCAGCCGAGTCGTCATCCCCGGAGAGAGAGAGCTCGCCCTCCGATGCAGCAATTGACATCTGGTCGTCAGGGGGAGCACCGAAGGATACGGGTGGTACAATCTGTCCTGCAGAGGGCCCAGTGTGCACCTCTGGCAGCTCCACCGGCTGCGGAGCGCTTGAGGGGTGAGGAACTTCCTTTGAAGAAGACGTCACCGCAATCCTCAAATCACCTCTGACTCCACCGGAAGCAGCGACGCCCCGGGTGCCGGGACGAACGCTGGATCGCTGCAGAGGCAGAGGGACTCCGCCACGTTTTTTATGCAACTCCGAGATGGTCATGTCCCCACACAGAGAGCATGCACCATCCACGAAAGCTTCCTCAGCGTGCTTAATGCCCAGACACATGAGGCAGCGATCGTGACCATTCTGAGGCGGCAGGTAACGACCACATCCAGAAACGCAGGGGTGATAAGACATCTTTAAAAAGACATGATCACCCATGTTGCTCTTTCAGAGATTGCTCTTTTAGTGCTGAATCACGCAGGGGAGCTGGCCACCGCACACTGCTGGTGTGGCTGTCTCCACGAAGGATGTTCTTTTTTCCCATGAGACAGTGACCACCGCTGCTGACTGCCGTAACGCCCGCACTTGCTTGTAATTACTCAAAGGAAGGGAGAGCAGTAGTGATGCACCACCACTCGGCTCCAAAGCGAAAAGATGAAAGCGAAAAGATGAATGATTGCGTTGCGCCTGCTGCCTCTTATAACCGCGCTGCGGGGTGTGGCAGCCAGATGCGAATTCTGCATGCCAATGTCCATTGGCTCGTTTAGTTACACTCAAAGTGGATTGGTCTCTCTGGCGAGATTCCTAATTCGTCGTTCACCGACGTGACGTCGAGAGTGACCGACTGAAAGGAAACCAAAAATTGTTCTCCTATGGCATTCCTGCAAAACCTCCTTTTTTGGAACATTTATTTTTAAGAGTGAAATTAGTAATTTAGCATACAATAAATAATAAATTTCACAGTGTGAATCTCTGGCTCTCTGTAGATTCACTACAAATTTTCCCCAAGTTTGTGTATTATCAGTATGACAGCTCATATCCAGCGCTGCCCACATGTGCTGTGTGTTCACAGTTTCCGTCCACTGCCTGTGTACGACACTCTGAGGAGCCCTCGGCTCCTCTCTTCCCCTCGCTTCATTCCAGTCCTCTGAATCCACAGAGGAAACCACTTCAGCCGACTCACACACACACTCACACACAATCAGAGGCAGAGAACACAGCTGACTCAGACTCAGGAAATACAGCCACCTGCCACTCAGCAGTGCTGGCCATGAGAGCAATGCTCCAGCGCCTCCAGAGGGTGGAAGAGGAGATTAGCCAGGTGAACAACCACCATCTTCCTTCTGGTCTTGTATGTGTATTATAAGTAGGGCTCCTCAAGTTTTGAGATATGCTCAAATATATATTTAACTACATCATTAAATTTATTGAATGCAGGTGGAACATTCTTTATAATGGGTGCCGCATTTGTCCTTCATTAACATGGACATAAAAGCTAGTATTTTGTCATTATTCTTCCTGTCAATATTTAGTAAACAAATATATTATTTAAAATACTTGAAGTATTTTTCCCAGGATTAGTGTCAACCCTGTTATCATCATAAGAATATCTTATTAAAGTAACATACTGTTCACAATTACATTATTGTACCTTAAAGTAGTAATTGTCCCTTTTTATCACTACATTTTGTTTGTCAGGAGACAGATCTTAAAATATCAACCCTGTTACCATGAGTTTTTTAGTCAAGAATTGATTATTAAAAACAGGATCATTAAATTCTATTTTTAATGTCAATAATAATATATGAATAGTAAAAACAGTCTACCCTGTAACTATTAACTTTTCTAAAGGAATAGTAACATCCCAACCTATATTGAGTTTTTACTTTGCCTGAAATGGCGCAGTGCTATTTATTATTACTTAAAATACATTATTTTTCTAGACAGAATGTCTACAAGCTAACAGAAAGGCATTTAATTCCTCTTTTCAAAGTGTAAAATGCACCCATTTCATAGAATGTCCCATTTAATGCATTTACCAATTTTGACATTAAAACTATTTCATTCTGTTGTCTTCTTTCTAAAGACTGAGCTATTAATAGCTGTTCTAAAGTCTTTTTAATAGAATATTTATTTATAAATAAATTCCAGATGAGATCTTTAGCAAAAATACATTCCTGAATTATGAAAACTAATGTTACTTATTGTTTGAGAATATGTGTTTAGAGGCAATTTCAACCAATTTAAAATAATCAAGTTAACAGCATTAAAAAGCATGACATTAATTGCAATTCTATTGACAAGTAATAAATGTCAAGCACATTAGTGGACAGGGATTTTCCTGTTCACCACAGGCTCAGTCTTTATTCTCTTCCACTTTTTTCTTGCTGTTTTCTTTCTACCGGCTTCACTCAGAGGAAAGCCCAGACTCAAAAGGCCAGGGAGTTTCATAAAAAAAGCATAAAGGAGAAGGCTGTGCATTTGAGCGCTCTGTTCTCTGGCGAGGCCTGCTCTCCACATCAGGTGACTATGTTACTGCGTGTGTTAGCTTTCCTCACTCAGCTGCTGTTGCATGCCCTGCGGTTTTGGCCTGTGATCACTGAGTGACTGAGCATCATTTCATGCACCTGCAGTCTTTGCAGATATCATCACATACTGAGTAATTAATTCCCTGAACCCCCGCTCAGCCATAATTGGTTAATAATCTGTCTAGCAGAACAGATGTGGGTCAGCTGAGGACATACTGCAGTGCTCGGTACATTCAAATGACCTGTTTTACTTGAAAAGAGTTAATAAAGTCAAAGAATGCCAGTGGACATCATAACATATTAGATGCTATTTGGTTGTTCTTTGAAGAAATTGTTGGAATAAAGTTTTCTCTCAATTCTAAGAGGGTTGGTGACATTCACATGGCTCTCTTAGTCTTATAAAGGGGTCTGGGCTGCTCAGGGGTCCTGTAAGCGTTTAAATTGATCTCTCAGACTGGAAAAGCAGCTTCTTTGCTTTTTTACTGCACGCATAAGGAGAAACCATCAGTCCAGGTGTCCACAGATGATTCAAACATCCTCATTCTCTGTGCATTTATTATATTTCCTAGCAGTACTATGTGCTTCTGTGAGAAAACACAGTGGGCGAAAGAAAAAACAAAACACAAGTTCATTAGATAACAAAAAAAATCTATCTGCAAAAACTGATGCTAATTCTTCTCTCAGTATGTGTGATTTGCTCTCTCTGGCTTCATACTGTAACACGCATGTTCTGGGTTTTGTCATCCATCATTAAAGTGCGGGCCAGACACTCCTCCTTGTAATTTCTATGAACCAGTTGAGTATATTTAGCTTTTGAAAACATTCCAAAGAGTGAGTAACATATGTTGAACAGTCCTCTAGAGCCTTCAAACAACTGCTAAATCGGAATGAATAATTGTAACATTTTCCACAAGGAACTTAAGTTACATAAATAACATCTTTTATGTTGCAGGTTTCCTGATTTTGCACAAAGCAGTATATTTTTATATGTAGCCATAGGAAAGAAAAAACACAAATGAGGTCTCTTTCATATCTCAGTTGTGTCAGGCAGAAATAAGAGCAAATAGAGCAAGAATTAAAGGGATAGTTCAATCAATTAATGTCATCAGTTACCCTCATGTAGTTCCATAAGACCTGTGAGACTTTTGTTCATCTTTGAAACACAAATGAACATACAGTACTATATTTTTTTTATGAAACCTGAGAGATTTCTGTCCCTCCGTTGAAATTCCATGCAACCAAAACTTTGATGCTTAAAAATGTATAAAGTAATTATAATCCATAATTCATCCATAGTTTAATCAAAGTTTTTTGAAAAGAAACAATCACTTTATGATGAATGTTTGAGCTTCCTCAAGAACCAATGTGATTTGTTCTTATGTATCAAGGAAGTACTGTTGAGCATCCATTTACCATATTTGATGTGCTCTGTATAAAAAGCATTAACAATTTAATGGAATGGACTTTCAGTGGAGGGACAGAAAGTTTCAGAAGAGATCACAACATCTCAAACTTTGCTTAAAGCAAAGTCTGCAATTAAAATTCAATATTAAAAGACCTTAATATGTACTCAAACATGTCTTATCAAATACTCTTAAGACCACATTTTCTGCAGCTATCCATATTTCACTGCTCATCTGATTTATGTCTATTTTTGTGTTTATTTTTACCATGGAATTTTTGGAGAAACATCAGAGATAAAGTTCTTTACTATCAGTTAAACATAACTAAGAAATCCTAAGAACTCAGGCCTCCTGAGATTTAAAAGAGCAAAATTTGAGCAATACATTTTCCTTTGAGTAATGAGTGTCCTATAATCCAATCTTCTCAGTTCTGAATGTTCATGCTATCTCTGTTCTGGACAGACTGACTCCTCTGCTGTCTGACCTTCCAATCCATCTCCACATTAACCCCACCACACCCAATCCCAGAATGCATTGCTGCTCCCTACAGTACGTCCTCCCATGTCCTCTCCTAATCTTGACTCCTGTCTTCTGACAGTGCCTGCCATTACTTACACATGCACTTCTTTCCATCTCTATTACAGCTTAACACTCCTAATACTGCTTGCCCATTTAACAGCCTTTAATGAATCATCATCAATTCATGTCCTTCTCATGCTCTTTCCTCTGCTCCTAATAGGGCGGATATCCCTCAGACTGGGAAGCTAGACATGCAGCTTTGTGAAGAGAAGAGAGAATCAGTGAATAGCTCAAAGGTGCTTTTTTCTGAGACATTTACAAATATGATATAGATTTCATTAGTGCCTGTCCGCTTTTTCAGCAGCATTGTTCCAGAAGTATTTCTACCATTCATTTTCCAATAAGGATTTTAAAATCTTTGTTAAAGTGTTATAAGCCATGAACCAAGCCAGCAGCTACAAGGTGAATCACAACATCACAAACTTTTATTTGAAGCAAAAAAGAATTAGAAAAGTAGCAAGATCGACTCCACAGAGTTCTTTTGGTGCAATTTGCTCACCACAGCTCTCTGATTGGTGGAATCTTCTGTACAGAATCATGGGTAATGTAGTTTTTCCATCATGAATTCCACTGATAAACTTGATTATTTTAAAAATCAATTGAAATAATGCGAACAGATGGCTTGTCAGATGTACTGTCAATTAGCAACCTCAGAGCTCACAAATGGCTTGTCTTTAAAGGTTTATAAGTAGTCAAAAATACATTTTCCTATAGAGAAAAGTTCTCTTTTTCTGGAACCCGACTGTTGAACTTGATTAGCGTTACACAGAAAATTTAAGCAAAAGTCAATGTGGTTTATTTTCATATGTGTTTCCACAGACTATACGTAGGCAAGACAGAATACAGTATGTATAAAAAATATACATAATATGCAGAGATATCAATAATAAAAAATAATAAAAATTAAAATTAAAATAACAAAACAATAAAATGACAGAGCCATTGATTAGCTTAAAGTAACTGGTACAAGATCAAATTGTGTTGAGTGACACTGGGATCACAGATTTTTTTATTTTTTTTATTTATGATTTTAATTCAGTCAAATCAGATCCTTGGCACATCTCTACCAAAGAAAACCAGCATTTTGAAAGCTCAGATAAAAGAATCTGATCATCACCTTGAATGTCTTCTTCAACCCATCCATTTTGCTACTAAACTTGTTCCAATTCTCTCTCTTCATGACTTGTGTCTGTGCAGCCTCACTCTTCATCTCTCCATTTCCCTCATTCCATCCCATTGACCACCCCTTCATGCCCTCTCCCACAATGCACTGCTGCTTCCTGTCCTCCTCCACTCATTTCATCCTATCCCTCTCTGCTGTTGCAGCAGGTAAGGGCACGTGCATATTTTACACTCTGTCCCAGTCTGCTGAATCTAATTCTTACTTTTTCTCCTCTTCCACTGGCATCCATTTGATTAAGCTATCACTCTGCTCATGTCTCTTTTAAAGCAGTAAATTAAAGCCAGAAATACTTTATGGCATAAACATGCAAGAAGAAGCAAAGTGTAACTCAGAAATGGTGAGTGTTTGTCAAGATAATTGTTTGATTAATTGATTGAAAGTGAAATATGCACCCACTAATGAAACTGCTTTTGTTTTTTAATCACCCTCATGTTGTTCCAAACCTGTCCATGGAAGAAATATCTCACTTGTCTCATAGTTGAATGCTACAGGGCTAGTTTGAATATGTGGATGTGCAAATGAGATTTGAGAGTTTCAATGTTTGTGGTATTTTGGTATTTTTTTTAATAGTATAATTTTTTGGAGCTTGAAAGACCAAATAAAACAAGAATGCTTTTTTAGAAAGAAATTGCTTGGGAATTTCTCCTTTTGAGTTCCATGGAAAAAGAAGTCATACAGGTTTGGAAGAATATGGGGATAAATACATTTTCATTTTTGGGTAAGCATTTCATTTAACTTAACCCAAGATGATCATAAGATTTGCTGCAATAAACTCTCAAATCTACATTTTCAGTCTGCCACCAGCAGTAGCACAACATCCTTTACTGTAAGAAAGCAAACAGATGTTCCTCAGTCAAATGGAGACTCATATGCTCCCAAACAGGTATATGACCATATCTGTGGAATGACTCTTATCCACAATCTCCCAGGACTCGCATGATGTGCAGTCTGTCTGGAATGAGTCTTCTGTGATATTGTTGGCATGTTGTAGGCAGGACTTGAGAGCACTGATAAAGGTGGCAGCTTTCTTTGATGGACTGTCTCTCTTCACATGGTTGGTTTTCTAATGAGAACGTGCCAGTCTCTCTCTCTCTCTCTCTCTCTCACACACACACACACACACACACACACACACTTGGCTGTAAGCATCCTTACATTCTAGCTGACCACAGGGAGAGAGAGAGCATTCCAAAAGTCCTCTCTTCTATTGCCAGATGCCTGAAACTCTAGCTCCACCCACTGAACAGTTCAAAGTGACTGTATCATTACATAATCGTCTCGACATAGTAGTTTTTCAAGTTTTACTCGATGCCTTTAGAAGTATCTCCAGAATGACTGACAACCCTCATTGTGAGCTAAAAAAGTGAGCTCTGTTCTAAAACCTAGTGAGATGCCTACATTCTATAAACGTGACCCAAGCATACATGAAAAATATGTGACTCTTGCTACATTTCTGCAAAAGCATACCTGTACAGGCATTTCACTGCAGTTTCCAGCTGAAATTTACTTTAGAGGCAGTAAAAGACCAACAAACTGTGTTCCTTTTTATACAAATTATGATTACAGGGGCAGATTATTGATTAAAACAATTATATTGTATAACTTTTATAACTTTGGTATGCTTTTACCACAGTGCATGATTTATTAATTAAAACATTTTGACTTAAGCAGCACATAAGCAGCTCCATATATATGGATTTTCTGACATAGTAAACTTGCTCGGTAGCTCACCTAGTACAGCATCACATTTACCATGCAGAGAGCTCAGGTACGAGTCCTGTCGAACATGAGTCACGACACTCAACAAAAGAGCTGAAAACCTCGCAGAAGGAAGCTAAAGCAGCATCAAAAAATGCGTTTTTATTTTTATTTTTCAAGACACTGCTATTTAATAAACCTGCATCAGCAATGGAGAAAACAAGTGTTACAGTGCCTCTGGTGGACGTGTCTCCTGAACAGTGTAGCAAAACGTACCTGAAGCTACTTATTTCAGGTTTTGTAGAAATGTATCCAGAGTTATATATTTCTAATGAGCCTGAGTGACGTGAACGCCTGCCTTCTAAGTCAGCACATATCACTCTGCACAGGAAACACAACATACTCATTTCAGTAGTCTGATGTTAGCATGTTGCTAAGCTAACAACATGAAAAATAAGCATTCAAATACACATCACATAATTATTGTGCTATAAAATATTACAATTCCTTTTTAAACAATACTTTACAATATATTAATAAAGTACTGTATACATGTGTAATGCTTTTCAGAATTGGCATCTTTGTTAAGGATGAGTGCAGTGCTAACTTAAAAAAAAGGAGGAGTGTTTGATACATCTTGCCTGTCTTACACCATGTTCCTGTGATGCTTTAAGATGGTGCCTATTTATGCAGCTCAGTGAGTTATGAAATAGGACAATGCAGTCTGGTTCAAAAGAATCTATCGAATCAATCAAACTCGCTGTTTGACAGAAAGGTTTTCTGAATTCTTTTCTCTCAGATTTTCCCCAGCATGCCCTCTCATGCTCTGCCTTATATTGCTTTATCCTTCTGTTTCATTCTCTTTTCTCCACTTTCTGTCCCTGCTCTCCCATTGGCTGGTAGCGCACAGTAGGCAAAGTGTCTCTGATAGCGTCTGCTAGAGCTGACTCTCTGGTTACCCTCTATGAAAATGATCATAGGCCCCAGGCAAGCAGCTCTGACACTCCGGTAAGCCACAGATCAGCTGGTCAATTGTTTTTAATCTGAAAACAAATATGAATTAATCTAGGAATTTTATGAACTCATCCTGTGTAGTTCAGTGCATTTCATCATTTACTGACCTTAATGTTGTTACAAACCTGTATGACTATCTTACTTCCCTGAAAGACAGCAAAATGTCCAAGCTTCTTCTTCTTTAATCAAATGCGTATGGGGATTGGGACTATCAAACTCCAAAAAATGTTACCATGGTTGCACATGTAAATTGAGAAAATTAGATTAAATCTCTCATAGAGGTTTATATACTGTTCAGTAATGCTTTCAAAAAATGGTGAGGAACTATGAAAAATGCAACACCATTTCAAATGACCTGCATTTTGCATGTTTAATTAAGTCATTATGTGACATCCATATTATCTCAAAAATAAATATGATTTAAAAATGTAGCATTTTTAATACAGTTTTGTATAAAAACTGAAATTACTTGTGTGTTTACTTCTGAAATGTACTTCTGAAATGACTTCTGGCTCATTTATAACAGTGAAAAGTCAAGCACACTGCATTGTGGGATACAGTACCCAGTACTGTTTGAATATATACTGCATAATTTTGGCAATTGCAGTAGGCCATACAGATATTGCAGTAGGTTTCAGCATGCTTAATCGACACAATCTTGACCGGTTTTTTTTTCTTTTTTTCCCCAGCCTTCCTTAAAAAGAGAATTTCCTCAGAGTCTGGGAGATGTGTGTCATGCGTGTAAGAAACGGGTGTTTGTAGTGGAGAGGCTCAGCGCAGAGGGATTCCACTTCCACAGGGAATGTTTCCGCTGTCATACCTGCAGAGCTCCACTGCGCCAGGGAGGGCATTCCTTCGATTCAGAGGAAGGTACTGTGAAAGGCCTGTAATGCATTCTCACTGTTTCTCATTTAATAGTTCACCCTAAAACGAGTGTTAAAGGCAGGGTATGTGATTTTTCAAAAACACTTTAGAAAACTGATTTGGGCCGAATAGCAAAACAAACTTGTAGCCAATTACTCACCCTCATATTGCTCAAAACCGGAATGGAGAATGGAGGGAATGGAGCTGTCAAGCTCTAAAAAAAATCACCATGAAAGTAGTCCTACAGGTACTTCTATGACTATATCTAAGTGTTCTAAAACCATATGATAACTTTGTATGACAAACAGACCAAAATAAGCAGTTTTTAATTGAAAATCTTTTTAATTTTTGTGTAAACTGCTGTATCCCATTAAAGGGATAGTTCACCAAATATGAAAATTCTGTCACTAATTACTCACCCTCATGTTGTCCCAAATCTGTAAGACCTTCATCTTCGGAACACAAGTTAAGATATTTTTGATGATACCACGACGCAGGAGCACCTCGCGCATACTGTCGTAAATTTGTGTCGAAGACTGACAGAGAAGAGAAGAAATTGTTGAATAAAGTCATTATTTTTTGGGGGGAGGGAGGTTTGCGCACAAAAGTATTGTCATAGCTTCATAAAATTAAGGTTGAACCCCTGATGTCACATGGACTATTTTAACAATGTCTTGAACATGTCAGTTGCGTTGCTGTGTATGCAGGGTCAGAAAGCTCTCAGATTTCATCAAAAATATCTTAATTTGTGTTCTGAAGATGAACGAAGGTCTTACAGGTTTGGAACAACATGAGGGCGAGCAATTAACAACAGAATTTTCATTTTTGTGTGAACTGTCCCTTTAAATTTCAGGCTATTTCTTACATCGCAAAAAGAGGTCAGCTTTTTGTGATAGCGACCCAAGCGATCACAAGGAGAATCATACCAAGACTGACAGTAGTTTATAGTTTTAAATTTTCATTACACAGCAAATATAATCATATACACATAAGATTACAGTTTGAAAGATGCAGGCATTGTTTCTAAATGTCCGAAGTCAAGATGAGGTGTCAATTTAATAAACGCAGCTCACAGTAAAGTCACTTTCAAACCAAGCAGCTTTCTGTTGGTTAAGATACCAGATATAATCTGCATGGAGAACTTTTCCGTCCTCAAGCCAAACTCCAGAATGCTTGGATTCCTATTGAAATGACTTGAGTTCGCCGACAAAATTTCACAGAGGAACAGTAAATGTGACCACACCTTAATACTAATGCTTTCTTTTGCTCCTGTAGGAAAGTTGTACTGCAAACTCCACTTTGCTCAACGGAAACCCTTAGTCAAGAATGGGAGGACACCAATTCTACACACGGTAAAAACTCCTTTATGCTTAATCTCTTTTTTTAATAATTCATCAGTAATTGTCTTACAGCACACCCATCTTAATATTGATTCTTCAGACGTGTAATGACGAATCCCACGACGGCTCCAGCTGGAGTCCAGAGGGACGTGAGCATCGTCTCCAGGACGAGTCTCCAGGTATCCTGTCCTCACTGAAGAGAAGCCTGCGCTGGCCGCTGCACGTGTGTGCTGTGCCTAGCCGTGTGTTTAACTGGCTGCATGGTAAAGCGTGGGCCACAGGAGTCCACCTGCGGGATAATGCCGAGGATTATGCCTTCCTGTACGAACTTCTCAGTGTGAGTCTGCCTCTGCTCGCCGTTCTCCATGAACAGCTCGTCCAAATGTACGCAGAGGCCGAGCCGCTCAATCTACAGCCTCTGCAGCACTGGCTGGAAGAGCACATGGGCCACTGGGTCTTAATGTGAGAGAAACATCGTCAGGACCCTTTAAAAGGGTTAATATGAACAGAACGATCTGAAATGTCCTACTTTTTCAGAGAGTAGAAATGAAATGGCCTGGTTTGGATTGCGCACAAATTACCAAAGCCTTCCTCAGTTACGAAGGTTTGCGTAAAGAGAAAAAAGTGTCAAACACGGAGTGAACTTTAAGCACTTTAATGAGTGAGCTGCCTTCATATGCACGAGTAAGAGTGACGTTCTGCTTTTAGTTATTAATGATAGTTCTTTATTGAGACTGCAAGTTTACAAAACCTGACCGATCAAGCTGCAAACACGTCTCGTCTGCTCTGTTAACCGTTCACGAACATGGAAGTCACATTCTTCTCGCACGTTTACATTTCTTATGAAAAACATACAGCACGGCTGTTAAAAGGAATGTTCCGGGTTCAGTGCAAGCTAATCTATTGACAGCATCTGTGAAAATGTTGTCGACTATCACAGAAAATAACAGCATCTTATCCTTCATACTGTTAAAACAAACAAGAATTACAATGGAAGTCTGTGCATGGGACAAGGCATTCCAGAGGGTTTATCTGTTATCTGAGCTGTAACATTGTCAAACATGTGACATTTTTTAGTGGTGTAACACACCAGTGACTATGTGTTGTCTTGTGGCTGGACTTTCAAAACAGTGTGAGCATTTTGCATTTTAACATTTAATCCTGTGTATTGTCTTGTCTCATTCCTCCAAATGCCTCATTCATTCATTCATTGTCCTGTATACTTCCATTGAAAGAGCATTACTGTAAATGTGATTTGTGCTGTTTTTTCAGTTATTTCCTTTGTAAACAGATGCTGTCCATAGTGTTCATCTTAAAGTTTAACTTTAAAGGTGCTGTATGTAGGATTGACACCGAGTGGTTGAACTAGGTATTGCAATCCAAATTCAAAATATTGGAGCGAGTTTTTTTCACCCGGCCCCTCCTCCTCAGACCTGACGCAAACGCAGGTTGCCTGATTGACGACACCAACAGGAACGAGCGCACTTGATGATGAATGAAATAAGACTATGTTCTTACATGTGTGCTTTATATGTAACTAGGGATGCACAGATTTGGACATTTTAGCGGATATCAATAATTATATTTTGAAGCCAATAGATGACAACAATAGATGCAACAACAAAGCATTTTTTTTTTAAATTCCAAAATCTTTTAACAAATTGATGTACTATGAACCATTGGAATAAAGAAATTATACATAACTATGATAATACAACAAAGAACACATTTAAAATAAAATAAAACAATAAAAAATAATAAATCGTACAGGCTCTGATTAAACATTTATTTTTATTTTATTTCATTATTTTTGGTTTTTAAATCTGGGGTCGTATGATCATTTGGCTATCATTTATCAATCATATCATTTATCAAGCTTTACCTAATGGACCGATTCAGATAACATCAAAAAGTCACATTTGCTGTCTAATATGAATACAGATATATCATGCATCCCTCTATGTAACAAAAGTTCTCAGGCTTACTTGTAGAGTTCTCATGAACAGTCCCAAATGCACATTCTATTGGGTTGTTTTGACCCAGCTATTGGGTTGTTTTGACCCAGCGGTTGGGTTGTTTTGACCCAGCGGTTGGGTTGTTTTGACCCAGCTATTGGGTTGGTCAAAACAACCCAATAGCTGGGTTTGTCCCTTTTCAACCCAGCGCTGGGTTATATTTAACCCAGCATTTTTTAGAGTGTAGTCTCAATCATACACCAGTTTTGTGTCACACTTACGAATCGTGACAGAAACACTACTTTGGCAGTCTTGTGAACGTCCTCTCATTTGATTCACTGGACTATTACTGCGGTTTCTTTTGATGTCATTTGCTACCTATGATGTGCTGTCTGAGGGCAGGGTAATACTGTACTTATAGATTTTACAGTAACACGTTTAAGTGCAATTAAAGTGCAAATTTTTTCCAAGTCGGAACTAACTGAGAAGTATTAATAATATGAAACATACTTTTTGTTGACACTGGAAGGCAATTGTTAGGAATGGTGATTGCATATAGATCATCAAATGACATGCATGAAATAAAGCATGGATAATAAAATCTGTTAAATCCATTTTTGTGCATTAGCAAATCGTTTCGAAACACTGTTTACAAGCTGCCTTTTAATATGAGTCACTTCTCATGTATGTTTCTCCATTTTTATTCACTTGTAGTCCTTTTCGACCTCTCCACTGCGTCTGCTCCTGACTTGCTGTGAGCAACGCTGATCCAAAGGTGATGGTCTGCAAGGTCACTCATTGCATTCGCTCGTAGCGTCTTTGACCTGTTTCACAGCTGTGGAAATGCACGCTGCATGACACTAACCGCCTGCCTCTGGTTCTTTCATCTGCACGTCACGTCTGACATGTTTCTCTTCTCTGTCTTTCTTCAAGGCTTGTTAATTACTTGCTCACACAGCCTCTGTCTTTTCTTCATTTCTTTCTGTTTCAGAGGTGGCTTACATTTCAGAAACCTACACGCAGGCGCCCGTGTGCCTCTATGAAAGCAGGTCGTTAGGCCTTTAGTTAAAGTAGCACCTTTTATCGGACATGTTGTAAAACTGTTTGAAGTTTTTTGCTGTGTATTTTCCATTTGAAACATTTGTTGTTGCCTTATTTATGTTAAGCCATACTCTTGCAATAAAAGAAAGATCAAAGCCTCGTCATTTTTACCTGTTTTTACATGCACATCTAGTCATTGTCTGTTACATACAGTACATGCATACACTTTTACATAAGAAAAGAAATATTCATATTAGCAGTTGATCGATATGGGTATTTCATTCACTTCGTTCCTTAAAGTCACTTAAAGTAAAAATGTATCTGACAATTGTGATTTAGGATTGTGAGAATTTGTTAACTTTGAGTTCGTCTTGTTTCGATTTTTATTGGTGGAGCAAAAAACAGTCTGTAACTGGACTATTGTATCTAAAAAGTAAGTTACTAAATATTAACTCTTTTTTAACTTTTGTATAAGAGCAATCAAACTTGTGTTAATAGGTTCTCACCCATAAAGTCTGAGATGGGCAATATTATAAATCTATTATCTGTGAGTGACTATGCATCATTTTTATAATCTCTAATAACAGCCTAATTATCAAATCCATAATTTAAGGAAAGATGCCACAGGTGAATATGGTCCACTTGATTAATCACAGTACATTGACATCTTTTTTTGTAAGAAGTTTTCTGAAATGCTGTTTAAATATGCAAATAATTCAGAAAATATGCACTAATTTGTATAAACATCCAAAGCATAAATCTGGACATTGATATTGAAGCCAGGTTCGAAATACTTTTTTGTCCCCATTTTATTTATTTGTTATTTTATTTTATTCAAGTTCAAGTTTTTTTACAGAGAGAAAAAAAATCACCATGTTTTAGGACTAAAATGTTATATACTGTAAATAAGGCAAATAATATAAACAAACCTCTCTGTAAAAACCTGAGAAATGATGAAATGCATGAGAGAAAAAAAATAATTTTAAGAAAAACAGCCTTTAAAGATATGTATTGTAATTAAAATTCACAAATGCAAATAGAAAAGTGTAATTTAAATAATAAATAAATAAACTTAAAAGTGTGTTTTGGATGCTTTCAAGAAGACAATGGTTTTACCTGTGGTGTCTTAAAAATACGATATGGTCACTGGTCATGCATTCATATTTCTATATGATCATAATTAAATTCACATACTTTTTTAATATATTCACAGATCCCTTTCTTAGTATGGTAAAAAAAATTATGTAAACATCACAATCCTGCATCCCTAAATCCAACTCCAGAGTGAACTCCAAAATTCTTTCCATTACCAGACTCAAGTGGGTGAGAAAAAAAAAAGCTTTCAAGACCTGTAAGTGCTGATAAGTGTTCAGAGTGACCCTGGACGAAACCTTCTTTCTGGCTGGACATTAGACAGATAGGGGGTTTTGGGTTTGAGGTCGAGACCTACACACTGCATCACTTTCATGTGTGACAGCGTTCCTGCTTTCCAAAGCCTTCAGCAAGCACTGTGTGGTCTTCATCGGTGCATTATTATCTCACTCCATAGTTACAGTGTTGTGCTTCAGTGTGGATACTATCACAAAAAACAACAGTATGCTTCATATTTACATGAGTGTGCTTGTTCTTAAAAGGCAGAGCAAAAATACATTCTGACATCTGTTTTAATGTATCCAAATAACACCACACTTCACATCCCTGAAGCTTGTTAGTCACTAAGTGCTGAAATATCACAGATTCTTATCCTGTTGAAGCAAATGCAAGTTTTCATTCAGTGATATCAAGATACACAAGGAAAGGTGGCTTGCATATTGCAAGTTCAGTTTAATTAAAACCACATTTTAATTAGATTATTCTGTTTAGAGTTTGGGATGATGGATCAGGGTATTTTCCATGGGTTATATTTGACTGATTTGCAAGGGAAGGAACAATATTTCCTGTTGTCATAAACACACGAATGAATAAATAAATGGATGAAAACATTCATACAGAAGCCTCATGAGCCATGAACGGGAGAGAGTAAATATGGCCTATTAACGCCCCCACGTGGTTTAACAAGAACAGAACAATTGCAGAGCCTAGCGTCACAGCGTCTCAGACCGGAAGTTATGATGGAGATTTTTTTTTTTTTTACTACTGTCAGATTTTTTCTTTACATGAATGGCAGGACATTCACAATTGCAATCAAAATTATTCAGCCCCCTTGACCTTAAAGACATTTTGCTGCCAAGAACAAAAATTGATGAAAACAATTCAACAAAGGCATCATTAAACTATTATAGAAAGTTTCTTAAAACACAGTTCAGATTCTGAGAATGTAAAGTTTATGACAAGTAAAGACAAAAAAAACAAAAAACGAATTGGCTCTAGACATTCATGTACAAAATCATTCAACCCCTCAATTGTGTGCATGCATTGGCTAAATGTACTGTAAGTGTAACTGCTCAAGCTAAGACATGCATATAGGTGACTTAAAAACAGCCACTAAATTTGCCACTAAACTGTTATGGATACGATAAAAAAAATAATAAAAAAAACAGTTTCAAATCCAACATTTGTAAATTATTATTCTGGGAGTGTAGGTCTATTCTGTTGCACATCATATTTTTATTACTTTTTTTCTATTTCTGACTTTTGCAAACTTTACTTTAGTAGTAGTAGTAGCACTACTACACTCTAAGAAATGCTGGGTTAAATACAACCCAGTGCTGGGTAAAATAGGGACAAACCCAGCA